TAATTACAGAGGTATTACGATAAATAAACAGAGAAATATAATATCTAAATATATAGAATACAAAACGTATAATAGATTGTTAAAAAAAAAAAAAAAAAAAAAAAAGAAAAACAAAGAACAAAGTGGAGTAACGCAATTCGTAGAAGTACGAATTATTTTTATTGTTGTAAAAAAAAAACAACTGTGTAGTATAGACTAGCAAGAGTATATAATAATATATTCTAGTGACATGTGTTATTAGAATACTTTAATCCTTTCGAGATAGTCTTTTGGCTGTGACATAACAGATTTAACGTGCTTTAAAACTACTTTAAAAAAAGTGTCAATCGAATATTGATACAAACTGTATTTTCTCCTCTTTCAAAGAAAACAAGTAAAAACATTAAGGGAATAATTATTTTTAGAGAATTATTCTCTCTTAATAATTTTTTGAAGGCATTATAATTGAACACTTTTTTTTTTTTTTTTTTTACATGAGGCTAGAATAATCATTAAATCGAACATTTAGCGTCAGTCTTGCAAGAACGCAGCCTCGAAAGGGTTAAAATTTGTGATTGCATAACTTGGATATTATACCCGCCCAACGCGAATGTGTAAATAAGATCTTGCGATCTCATGGATGTCTATTAAACGTTTTCTTAGTCTCTCTCGGAGAGACCTCCGCGCTGTTCGAGATTATTGTCGCGACTGATTATTCTTCTCCGTCGGGTTTCTTACTATCGACCGTTTCTTTTGAGCTCGAAGTGCTGCTCTTCGTCTTCCGTTTGGGCGGAACAGGCACGTCGGGGGCGGCGGTACTGACGGCTGGCGACGGCGGCGGTGGTGTTTCCGGCACGCCTGCGCTAGTTTCCAATGTCAGTCCTGTCTTCGTGTTATTTTTTTTAGCGACTTTTACGGTTTTCTTCGGTTTGCTCGGCGAACTGTCCGCAGGAGCGCTTTCTGAGACAGAGGAACCTGTCGCCTCTTCAGGTTTTGCCTTCGGTTTCTTCGTCACCTTCTTAACCGTCTTTTTCGCCGTCTTTTTATCTGCGCTCTCGCTGTCCGCGCCCTCCGCTGAATCGGACTTCTTTAGGTCTTTCTTCGCAGGTTTTTCTTCTAATTCCCGTGGGGTCTCTGCGGACGGACTGGTTGGCGGTGTAGCTTCGATCACTGTCGGCGTCGATGGGATGTTCGTCGCTTTCGCTTTAATGGATTCTTCTACCGATGGGCTCTGTTCGGTAATCGGTGATTCTGGGACCTTGCTTGTATCTGACGATTTTGTGGCTGTTTCCTTTACTTTGATTTCGAGCGACGCTTCTTTCGGTTTTTCAGCTTTCGCGACCGTTTCTGTCTTCGCAATCTGTTCAGCAGGTTTCGTTTTTGATGCTTCCGTCTTTTCGATTTGCTTTGTTTCTTTTGTTTCTTCTTTTGCAGTCTGTTCAGCTAACTTTTCTGCCTTTGCAGATGATTCTTCCGAAAGCGCTGCACCGCTATTGGACTCTTCCTTCTTTTCAGTAGCAGGCGGTGCTTCTGTTGTCGCAACTGATTTCTTCGATACCTTGATAGAAGTATCAGCCTTTTCCGGTAGATCCTTTTCGGGAAGTACCGCAACATCGCTGCGCCTCTCAGACTCGCAAGCCGATCCATTTAATTGAACGTGCCCCGTCGTCTCAACGGGAGAGATATCCGCGGACCTGTGTACAGCCGTAACCGTTGTGGCAATCGCCTGATCGCTCGCGGCCGCGGCCGTGTCCGACACGGATTCTTTTGGCTCCGCTTGAAGAACCGCTTCCGCCACCTGAATAGGGACGGGACTTACGGTAGAGACTTCGGAAGCTGCCAACAGCACTTCCGCATGCTGCTCGCTTGGATCTATTGTGAGAGGCTGCGTTATGTCAACCGTAGTTTCACTTGCACATTTCGTGCTATCTTGAGACGGTTCTTTACTTGTTTCAACAGAAGTAGTGACTGCTTGCGAAGCATCAACGTTAGTTGGAGCATCTGCGGTTTGCGACGCTTCTTGAGAAGAGAAAGCTAGGCTTTCTGGTTTGACAAGTGTTGTCGCGCTATCAGTTTGCGTAACGGGAGCAATTGCTTCTTCCTTACAGGTCGCGTCCGCTTGCGATTCTTTCGTTTCGAGAAGACTTTCGTCTTGAGGTGTCGTTTTCTGTGTCGTCGGCGGACTTGCGAGCTTGCATTGCTCCGCGATCGTTTCCGCAGGCGACCGATATTCCGATATTTGTACAAGCGCTTGAGTCTTCACGTCCTTCAATTCTTCCGTGACGGCCGATGATATCGGCTCGCTAGATTCTTTCGTTGCTGATGCAGCTTTTACTTCTGATTCCTCGGTTTTTTCCTCGGCAAATAATGTTGTTTGTTCGGGAGTTTGCGTCACTGAAATCTTCTCTTCGGGAATTGCGCATACTAAAGACTGTGTTGGATCCTTGTCCGCCTCAACTAGATACAGAGAAAATAAAAGTGACATTTTGCATAAATGTGTTCCGACAGATGTGTATAGAATATACAGGACAAATATACGTACAAGAAAAACTCTATTCTAATAGAAAACAATCGTGTTGTGTGACGAAGTCGTGCAAAACTTTTGTACTCCGTTTTTTTAATAGTTAATTTAAATAAAAAAAAAATTATCAAATATATTAATATGTGAAAAAATATTACACCTATTTGGTCATTAATGCAAATAATTTTAAGTAGAATGGATAACGATATGGTGATGATTTTTTTAATGTGTTCCACCGCATTAAAATAATACATCGTTTGATTGTGCTTAAGTGCGAGCGAGTGTGCGAGTGAAAAAGTATAAAAAACAATACACAAAAGATACACAATTGGCAGTATGTTTGTCGATAAACCATAGACCAGATATATATGATTTTAAATATGAAATATAAATGTGCTCCTGTGCTCATTTTGTTAATATAAAAGCATATAAAGCATATAAAAAAAAAAGCATAATGTGAATGTATAATGCGCGTTAACATGTTTGAAGCGTGAATTAAATCGAAGCTTGACAAAAAACAAAAACAAAAGCAACATTCCTCATCTTTAATGAATAAGTGTAACTATATCTGATAAAAGCATGCAATTACGTTTATATAAAAACTCGAAGAAAGGACAAATTTTTTTATGTATTTATGTTAAATTGTATCTCACACATTTTGTTTACATATATTACTTATTTTATTTATATATGACTCTAAAGTATATTTTTTTCAAATGTAAAAAAGTTACTTTGACTACGCAACATTTAAAAAAATACATGATATTGACAAAACAAACAGAAAAATTAAATAAATATAACCATGTATATATAAATAATTAATTGCATATGCATGTTTCATGTGTGCAAATTTAGTGAAAATAGAGAAAGAAAGAAACTTAAGTAACTTTAAAGACTTTAAAAACTATTTGATGGAAAATTAATAATCAACATTATATAATCTTTAACTATATTTCATAGTTATACATATATATATATTTTTTTTTGTCAGATATAAAAGAATAAGATTACGTCAATGTGTGATGTTTTTTTCGTGTGAGCACATAAAATATTTACCCCATTAAAGCAAAACGACAATACAAGATGGAGCAATACTGCCGGGATCTGTTAGTTGCTGTCCTCTGTTCCTGTTTCAAACACTCAAACTGGATCAATTGCATTAATAAAAGTATATAATTTGAAATTTCGCAGTTTGTGATATTGCGACCGATACAAATTCATGTATCAACATCAGCACCTCGATTCGATAATCGTTTCCTCGCTCGATACATTCTTATTTCGAACAGTATAAAACTGAATATTGCATGCTGTATTTAGTGATGAAAAGAACAAACAAAAAACACAAAGCATGTTCGAGGAAACAGTTAATGGCCTTTGCATTGTGAGCACATAAAATTATTCCAGTTATATCTCGCGCAGATATTGTTTCAACAATTCGTGAAGTAGTGCTCGTTTTTCAAACCTAAATTTTTTGTGCCGTTATTTTGACATTCTTCTCTGAGACATAAAATAATATTTCAATACTTAAAAAACTTTGTTTTTACTCGCATTTCAGACTCATAAATGCGTTTAAAATAATTTGTTATAGTTTATTTAGATTTTGTGAACAAAAAGTATTATCATACGTACCGGCTGGTTTGTTCACTTCCACGTCTATAGGCACGTCTATAGGCACGTCTATAGGAGTCTTCACAGCAGGCTCAGCAGCAGCAGCAGCAGCACTTTCTTCAGGTTTAGCGATATCCTATAAATATTTACTGTATGAATTATTCATTAGCACACTGTTTTCGTACTCAAACACATTTTATTTTGAGAAAGAAGTTAAGTTGTTTATTGCTATAATATTTGACTTTTATCAAATTCATGTGATAGTTGATGATCCATGGTAATTTTATGCGTACATTATTAAAACAAATGTTAAATGCGACATTAAACAACCTCTTTGGGTGGAGTCGGTTGCCGTTCCGGCGCGAGAGAAAGCGTTTCGCTGATCTTTTTCCAGATGTTGTCGAAGCTGTCGCGACCCATGTAGTCGATCTGTCCCTGTTCCCAACTCTGTTTTCGCATGTGCTCTTCGTAAGCTATTTGCTCGGCGCTTCTTGGTTGGCCCAGTGTCATTTGAGCTAAGGCACCGGCGATCCCCGCCTGCAATTTTTAACAGAAATATCTCTTCATTTCCAATTTTTCGCCGACGTAAAATAACAGCGTGAAATTATGACAAACACATAAACGATTTCATTTCTTCTGTATCATCACGGAATATATAAATTACGTCCATGTACAAACACAAAAAGCTGGATGCTACTTACACATAGAGGACACTTTAAAGAAAAATAATGTACGGGTTAGTGTACGCACACAAAAATAAATGAAGCTTGTATCTTTTACACGGAACAAATGAAATTATCTGTAATTACTTAATTACGCACGCAATTTATTTAGATGCGTAATTAAAGATAAACTAACCGACAAACGAAATGATTTCAGTCATACCACACAGACATGTATCAAATGAATATTTTCAAAAGTGTAAGTAATGTCCCAAGCATTAATATTATTGAAACAAATGATGTATTAAATATAGAACAATGGTGAATGTGATACAACACACCATGTATTATTGAAAAAGATTCCTTTTGCAGTAATACAATTAGTATAAATGTTATAATATATATTTGTAATAATCTTCTTTTTTTGTAGAAAATTAAAGCAGGTATATTCTGAAAAAATATACACAGAAGTGTATGAGAGATGATATGTTTAAATCGAATTTATAGAAAAAAAAAACAGATATGGGAACAATTACTTACATTTGCACTGTCTAGATGTTCCACTACGTTCGGATCAGATTGCGTGGCTACATTGTGGAGATCTGTACAAGGTGCGGGAGAGGGAAGATAGGAATCAATTCTCCGTAAATCTGTCTGCTTGTTTGCAGCTTTCGACGACTGTTCGCTACTCTTTTCGTTATGAGAATAAGGTGCAAAATATTTGTCTTGAACGTGCTGATTGTGCTCATTGCTCGTAGCATGACCATTTTGTGAAACAGTGTAATTCTGATGATTCGTGTGATGATGACTAGCTTGATTACTATTACTAGCGTGATGTTCGCGCCCCACTTCGGCGAAATGCGACTGAGATTCGCCAGTATAATGCTCGTGAACCGTTTGATGAATCTGATATTCGCTTGTTTTGTTTCTGTGAGACTCGTGTTGCTGAGATTGTTCCGAGTGTTGATGATGATCATTGTGTGGTTTTTGCTCGCTATAATGTTCGTGTTTATTTTCATGATGCTGATGTTCATAGTGATATTTCTGTTCAGGCTGATGCTGTTCGTAATGTTGGTGCCTGTGTTCGTGATACTGGCGTTGCTCGTGATAATGTCTTTGTTGATCGTGATGTTTATGTTCATTATGCTGATGGGGTTCGTCATGGTGTCTTTGTTCGCTAACTTGCTGCCAGGGATGATAAGTGTGTTGTGTGTAATGTTCTCGATTCTCACTAAAATGAGAAGTGGCGTGTTCTTGATGCTGACTTTGTTCATGTTGCGTGGAATATTGTTGTTCGTACGTTTGAATGGGTGTATAAGACGATTGCTGTTCTTCGTAGCGAAATTGCTGAATGTATTCGAGAGGTGTGCTTTTAGCGATCGGAAACGATTCGTTCTGCGGAGAATATTCTTCCCAGGGATCTTTAAACTCGGAAAAGTCCGGCGTTTGCGAGTAAGTGTTGTTGCTCGTCGTGTCGGAGTAAACGGAGTATTCGGGAACGGGGGGTGCGTAGGACGGGAAAGTAAATGAGTGCCAAATTGGAGCCAATGTGCTGGTGGCCTATACAAGCATCATGCCAAAACAGAAAAATGCACACTCGATCGGTTAGTAGTGAACTAAGTGTGTTTGACAGTGTCCATTTTTCTCCCAGCGTTATTTTCTCCTATTCTGTTATTGATTATTATACGTGATAAATTCTACGGAAATAAAACGGTATTTTTTACGAATGATAAATATAATACTGCATCAATATCTTCTAAGTGCCACACAACTAACATTATTCATGCTTGGAATCGATGCATTTATATATATTTTTTTTCGTATACATATATTACGAATATTACGATTAACATAATCAGTTGTTTGTTTATTGTAAATTATATTTTTACGAGTTACAATTTGATAAACAGAGAAGAAACAAAGACACCAAAGAAAAAAATAGACACTGATATACTGATATACTATATATCATTTAGGAAAACTTTTTATTAATAGCGACATTTTCGCTTAATTGATGAATTTTTATTTAAAAAATATACTTTTTTTTTAATTGTGTTTTACGTTAGATACAGAATATTATTAAAGAATATATTTTTTTTAATAATGTTTCCGCAATGTTTTAACATATAATATATATATATATGTGATTGCATCATAATAATGCACAATAATATTTTGCAACATCTCTTGTGGAATATTAAAAAGAGAGAGAGAACTGCAATATTTTTACAATATTCCTGCAATATTCGAATACTATTTCCAGCAATATTGTGAATATTATATAAAATGTATGTTTATATTAAATATATATTTAATATATGTTTCCAATATATGCAATTATATTTTAAGCAAAAAAATGTAGCTATTAATATACATTATGTAAAGCTATTAATATACATTATGTAATGTACAAAAAAAATGAGCAAATTAGAAATAAATATTTAAAGTTAAAAGAGAGAAGAGCTGCCTCTCTTATTCTTCGATATTATATAAAAAAATGCAGCAAAAAAATTGTACCACCTATTATATGTAAGCTTTCATACAGCATTTTTTTAAATCGTTAAAATATGCAAGCAATTCTGAACTCTTTGTCTAGCCTATGTACAAACGACTATAAGTGCAACTTGATGCACCCATGACGTTCATCGACAAAGTTTAAAAAAAATAAAGAATCTATATATAACGATATGTAAAAATTATAAAACACACTACGTCAAGATCTACGTTTAAATATCTTACCCTTAGTTTGTTCGTACTTGAATATAAATGCTCACTGTCTTGCTTGTAAAATGAACGCAGTAGTAAGTAAAAAAAAAGATATTGTAATATTATTGTTTTCTAGCCACACAAGTGCGTAAAACCAGTGAAAAAGTGCGTTATCTATATATTATTGAGATACGCAAATCAAAGTTTTTTAGAAATATGAACTATATGTAGTAAAGAGAAATATGCATTTTAAGTGTCTAAAATAGTTTTCATTATTTTACCACACTATAGACACACTATCATCCATACATTCATAAATAGATAACTTACCATAGAAGTGGTTAGGTGGGGATGTACTTTCTCGTAGAATATGTTAAACCACAGTTGCAATAGCGGTTGCAAGTGCATAGATTCAGGTGGTGGATACACGATACCAGTTAGAGTATCAAAATACTGTAACCACGGTTTCGTTATACCAATAAAATGAATTATTCTCACATCCTCGCCAAATCTATAATGATACAAAACCGTAAATTAGTATTAAACAGAAAACATCGTTCATTTTAATTATCACGAATCCGAATGATTGTGATTGCGTACTGTTTGAACGCGGGAAGATAGGAATACGTCGCGGTGGAACACATATTGTAAATAAACGGTAGATGTTTGGAGATGTCCTTAGTGGCCCAATCGCTGAAGTACATATTCAATAAACCTTGATCCCCGCCATCAAACGAGCCTTTGGAAGCGGCAAACGCGATGATTGATGCGAATGTTTCTTGAGAGGGTCTGAAGACAAATACTCCGGAATTAAAGCAGTCAGGCCAGCCGACATCGGGCGCGGCTGATAGTTCTTCACGCTCGAATAACTCGTCGCAATTTTGTACGACCTAAAAGCGTTGGAATAAATTTACAATGATGTGTGATATATATTTATTTGTTGCATTTAGGATAGTTATTCTTTGTGTTTTACAATTTTTATAAGATGAGTGTGAATGTGTTTATTACTTACAAGAGTGTCTGCGTCAACAAAAACACACTTCTCATACTGAGTTAGCCTCCAACAATGTAACTTGGTGAACGTAATGCCCAATTCTGGTCTAGCCAGCAGAGCCAATTTTTGCTCGTCCTTCGAGTCGAGAACATTAACTTCCTGAACCAAGGAAAATACTGCCTCCAATGTTTCCCTGACGCAATTTAAATGTTATCCTTATTATTTTATTTGCAAGATAATATATTTTTTTAATGTTATATTTCAAGATCAATGAAAGTGTGGAAAAATAATCGACAACAATGATTTCAGTGACATAAAGAGTCTGCCGATAATCATCGTTGTGTTTATTGAACGTGGACAAGACCGCTACCTCATCTTTGCCGTGACTCCAGGAGTGATCAAACAAACCAGATCGTGCTTGGTGTTGACACGACGCAAAGAGTGTGCCAGGACCAGTACTCCCAGACAGTAGGCATCGTTTGTGGCTAAGGTAACCCATGCGTATCCTATAGACAATCAAAGAAAGACAATAAAAACGCGCTTGAATGAGCATTCGCTCATTTGCAGTTTTTAAATATATATTTAGAAGATTAAAGTTTTTGGTTTTTAACAAATTTCGCGAAGCCGGACTTAAAACACATTTCAAACAAATGTCACATATTTGTCAAGTAAAATGTATTATTATCGTGTCGAGTGTTCTTCAGCTACGTTCGATTTCGAAACGACAAAAGAAAAATGATAAAAGTGCAAAGTCAATTGAGACCGCGCGCTTATCGATAAGCGACTTCCGCAGAAATAGATTCCGAAAGAGTATCGAATTCTCATGGTTAGCGCTAATTTTTGAATAAACCGCGATCTTACGTAATAAAGATACGCGTCGAATGTATGCCAACGAACTTCGTGGTGTGAAGTTCAAATGTTATCAAAGCGCGCGAACAAGCATCTCGAATATCTGCACTTTTACAAGAGAATTGCTTTGTATACAAAAAAAAACTTTGTTAGAAAAAAAATGAATTACGATGTAATTTTGCGTTGTCTGTGATTTATGCTTAATAAGCATTGACTTCTCTGCTTACCGCATCGATTTTATTTATTGTTGATGAAAAATAAAAACAATACTATAAATCGGTTTTTTTAACGAATGTATAAACTACACTTGTTCGAATGTTTCCGACCAAATGTTTGCAACAATCGCGTCTCGCCACTTGTATTAAATTAATATATTTTAATCGCGCGAGGACGCAAAGGAATGTGCGCACCAGAGGCGCTAGATGAAAAGTAAATCCGAAAACGAAAGTGACGTTGGCAAACTTCCAACTCTGGATGTATAATTAGATCTTTCTCTCTCTATGCGCTTCACTTCCTCTCGACTCGCACAAGAACGTCCAATTGTAAGTAATTATTTCTCACAATGTTTACGTTTACGAATGGGATTGTTCCTATACGAATTGATCGTCTCTCGTACAACTTTTATCAACTCTGGCAAAAACGCTGATCATCGCTTGAATGGAATTGCATCTTTTATGCATTTAATATTCGAGATTTTATCCCTTCTTTAAATCCTCCGTATCGTGGGTTCTATCGAACGTACGCACAGGACGACGCGAACTCAATATATAGATGCCGATTCACACAAATGCAAATGTTTCTTGCGTACAATGCGGTATGCAAATCGTTTGACATATGCAACAAACGAGACAACGTTAGGTTGTCGCGCAAGTTCCCGGCACGTGCAAAATTTTTACTTGCGCAACAAAAACTTGGCAGCTAAATCACGCGAACAGTAGGCGTAAATCCGCAGATATTGCGCATCACACTCGTTTTTCGGAAAATTTATCGCGTTTTATTTATAAGCACACATCTTCTATTTCTATTTCATGATACGATACGCACCTTACTTGCTGCGCGCGTAAGCAGAATTTTGGCTGCGCTCTATTTTGTGCGCTGGATAAAACGTCACCCTATTCTTAGCACGCTGCACAATCGTCTCTCGCAGAGAGTTTCCAAACTTGCAAAACGCGCGTTGATACATTTAATACACGTAGTTAGAACAACGCAAGTTTAGAATATGTGCAAATTCATTTTTTGCCGATCTTACGCGTATCTGAAATTGCAAAAATATTTGCGTTTCTGCATACTCCGCCTATGAAAATTGTGCAACAACATATTCACGTAATTGTGTTGTCTCTTATTGCGTTAAATTTAGCGTTTCTATCATTGGCCATTGATAATAACAACATAAGGCAAAAAAAATTTGCTCAAGTGTAATGCTTGGACATTATCTATTCAAGTTTTATCGGAAAAGATTACTGAAAATTTATGGACAATATTTACTACCAAAGTATCAAGAGACTGATAATTAGATATTCATGACGTAAATTGTGAAATACTACGATATTAAAGTGCAGACGTCTCTCGAGAGTGCGTTTTTACACTGCGCTATTAATCGCGCATGATATATGCAAGATTGTCATTAGACTTGTGCGGCAACGCGGAACACAGTAGACTTTCACTCCCGAGTAGGCCGATTAAGATAATAATAACTTCAAAAAATATAAGTTTGACAGAAATATATTTATATTTATATATTTTTCTGACAATATCTCGACGATCGTTCGTCGCAGTTTCTAATTAAACACGTATGGTTGAGATAAAAATTTATCTCTAACACACCCAGAACTATCCGGTGGCGCTTGCTGGCGCCACACCAGGCGCTTTAGGGACTTGCTAAACCACACGAAGCACAAGATAACCTCGTGAACAAGGAAGACGGTCATCATGCGTGCGCGTGATTAAAACTGTCGTCGGAGGATTTCTAAAGTGCATGACAATTTTTCAGATTACTACAAACAGATAGAACACGAAAGATCTGGAGTGTACCAAAAGAATGTTACGAAACCGATCATGTTTTTGCGAGACATGTTGATGCGCGACACGCGAAAAATGTGTGTGTGCTTTTTTACAATATATAACTATGATGAACAAAAAACCTACGATATATAGCTGAAAAAACCTACAATATATAGCTGAAAAAACCTACAATATATAGCTTTGATGTTTTTCGGATCAATTCAAAGAAAATACTTAAGAGAGGAAAGAACGTTGTTCTATAATGTGCTGTTTTTAATTCGTATTTCGTAACAACATCGCCACATGATGGCGACGATACACGTCGTTGTCACATATGCAAATGTGTGCGTTAGAATGCGGAGCCCTGGGATAAGTGTCGGAGACACAATAATGAGTCAGAGAAAGAGACGAGAAAGAGAGAGAAAGAGAAGGAAGACGGAAGGTAAGGCTCTGGGACGGGAGCCTTGGAGGATCGGATTTCTATAGTTGCCGGTGTTCTCAAAAACATTCAACGAAACAACATTTGTGCCAAAACATTTATAATTCTGCTGCGCATTACAAACTTCCGTTATTCCTTGCGTTCTTTGCTCGCTCTTTTCTTCTTTCGCGTTTGTATTTCAATTTCGCGTGTTTCTGAGAGAGCGATCCGTCTTCATTCTCGCCTGATTTATATAGCGCATGAAAAATACTCCGTCCGCCTACCTCTTCCGTTGAAACTTAGTTTTGCAATTGGATGAAAATAAAACGTAATATGCAAGACGAGAAAAGACTTTACAAAATGGCAGATAGGGTGGAACATTGACGCGACAAACCGTTATCACATCGAGAATTTAATAAAGCGGAGATCTTCAATGTGACAGAATATCTAATTTTTTACTATGTGAAATGACTAATCTTGCAAACCGGATGCACGTCCGTCTGTAACATAAATTACACCATGACACAAAGAGTTGGAAGTCGGGAAAATAGTTTTAAGATCTCTCGCTTTATTTATAATACCGTACAGACGGAGGGTTAATCTTCCCTTTTTGAGAGACGCGGAGGTAACGTCTTCCACGTATAACGTTTATGGCGCGAGAGCTTCCGAAACCCGAGGAGGCGCGCACCACCGAGACATGGGTTTATATTTATACAAGCCGGCTCGCCGACTCTTATAATAGCGAGTCGGCCTCGCTGCAAAATGCATTCATACTCCTTGTCTTAGGTCAAGCACTTGCGTCGAGTCGGAACTGAACCGGCTACTTCCTTATAAGATCCGCGAGCGCGGAAATCGTCACGCGAGTTGAGAAGAGACGTGTAAAACGTTCACGTGTAATCTCTCGATAAGCAATAGCAAAAATCGAACATATAAAAGATATCGCCAATATGAATTAGATAATAACAAATATTTATTTTAATCTTGTTATTTTCTATAAAAAAAAAAAAAAAAAAATTATTACATATGTATGTGTGTGTGCGATATAAGAATAAAATCAATTTACGAAATTGTTTCCGCAAATATTGGAAACGTTTAATATTCTCTGTTTTAATCGAGAGATGCCGTAGTCGTGCGTTCTTTTTACTTCAATTTAAATGCTAATTGTTATTTATTTGCGCACATTGTCTGTTCTTATGACGAGAACATGTGACACCAACTCGTGCCAGACTCCTAATGCCGAAAGTCCAAATTCCCGATTCAAATGCTGACGACGAGGGTCAAGATTGAGTTCGTGCAAGAATAGTATAGCCCTCCGTCGATAACAGTCCAACGAACTTGACAACCTAATTTCCGCACCAAATTTCTCGCATATTGATATTTTATAAGTATTCGATTGTTACTTCACTTACAACACGTAGTTTTATTTCCGTTTATTTTTATCAACAATGTTAAAGAAGAATAATTCATCTAATTTCAATTATCTCAGACAATTATTTGAGCAAAGACGTGAGAAAGACCTTTTGTTATTTATGAAACAAAACGATATATCACCGAACGACTAATTAGTTTTACACCTTGTCAAGATACGAGCGACTTCGTTAAGAGCACGTATTGAAACATCGAAAACATTGAGAGATGTCCACAACATATTACTTACTAGTTGGTTTGTTTCTGTTTGTTATCTGTATGTAACCTTTCATGACCTATTGTATAATCGCTTTTTCTCCTTATATTGTTTTTATTTTCCGTTTTTCGAGTTTACATAAAACTTATTTTTTAGTAACATATTTCGGTTAATAAAAGTCCAGTGTGTAGATAGACTCTCTACGATTTTCTGGTTCGCTTATACCTCTTTCTGGATTATAATCTGGTGTTCTACAACGAATTTATAGTAAAAAGTTCGAAATCGTCAGATATTACCGGCTTCTATTTGCTCTTTTATTACTGTCAAAGTCTGTAACAATCGATACGCATAGTATTCTTATCGTAAGATTTAACTCTCTAATTACATGTGCTGTAATCGAGAGATACGCCATCGCGCAAGACACTTGATACCAATGACGTTCTAATAATCTCAACGTGGTAAATATGTGTATAAAGTCGAACTGTGCTAAAAGATAAAGAATAATATTAATAATTAATGTTATTTGTACATATATTTTTTTTTTATTATTTTCCAATTAATAGAGTAATCGCGAGTAATCACGAAAATGTGAAAAGCGTTTTTATTCAAAAGTGTATCGTATTTTGAGATAACAAAAAAAACTTGAGATAAAAAAAACTTACTTTGTGACCTCGACGGGGCACCCTAAAATATGTCGACAACGAGAGATAGTGACAATTTCCGAATTTCTGGACACGTATTCGAATTAATCATCACCTGCGGAAACAATTGAGACGAGCGACAACATAGATAGAAGCGTGATGTTATCGCACGCGTGCGAAGCAACAACAAAAATCTTTTTCCAGAGTTCGAGTACGCGAGCGATGCTTGTTGAAAAATAAAAATATGCGCGCGTGCAAGCTCTCCGACGTTTGGCATGGAGCCGTCGGAAGAGTTTTGCTCCCTCTCACTCTCTTTTTCTCTCTTTCTCTCTTTGAGGAACAGCCAGGAATAAACTTTAGAGATACCGTCGGCGTCGGTTACTTTATCTTATTTCGTGCGTGAGGAATCTCTCTCGAATGCGTCTCTCTAAAGAGATAGAAGAAAAGGACATTTGAAACAAAGTTAGATCTTCCTTGCCGCCGATCTCTCGCCGTCTCTGGCTTTGAGTCTCGAAAATCTGCGCGCAGTTCTCTTTAAGCAAATTATATGACCAATTAGCGACCAAGTAGCTCGAAGAAAAGAGTTATGACAATCTCGAGCGAGATTTTTCGGCTCGTAGCGAAAAGACCTGTGTGGTAATATAAAATAGTTTGTTAATAAAAATATATGTGTGCACAAATAAAATTAATGCAAGGTACACATATATGTATATGTTTGTAGAATTTGTCAGTGTGTGTTCTTATTAATATATAAAAGTAATGTACACAAAATATCATAACATATTACTTGTCTTATTGGTTTTGCTTATTACATGCGCTCATTTCATTTCGAACACGTTTACATAGTTTCGAAACTGTGTTCGTCTCTCTCTCTCCCTCTCTCTCTCTCTCTCTCTCTCTCTCTCATGTCTCTTTCTCGTGTTCGACACGCCGTGTTCAATTTTTCGTCAAGCGCAACATAATTTTCGAACTGCTGTTGAGAGATTTGTCTTCTCCAACAGCAGACGGATCGTTTTCTGAACTCGAGCGCGTAAATCTCATTAAGGTAAAAAAAAAAAAAAGAAAAACAATCGTATACAGAACTCGTACGGAGTACTCGAATGTGTCACGATCGGTATCCCACGAAAACGCGATGCTCTGTATATACGAGCGTAAGTATACAATTGATTCTCCCGAGATAAAATCATCTCGCCGAGAGGAAGAGGATTAGCGCCGTGAATTTCAGTATGGTGCGAGTCTTCGAACGACATGAAGGTCATTAGGTCAAGACCGGCGAGCGACGTTATCGGCCGGCGAACCGTGAGTTCACACATCAAGTTCTGACTGAACATGACCTCGTAATCGTTGGTCCAGACGTGGAACTTACCGCCCATGACTGATGTCCTCAGCGGGATAATTCGCGCGTTCTTGGTTTTTCTTGCTTTCGTTCGTGCCGAGCACCGGAGAAACCGAACACACCCACCACTTGCCGGCACTGACCGATGGAAACGGGAACAACCGTGTGCACTTCGTCAGCGCCACAACACGAGTGACGACGACGAGAACATCACGGGCTACTACTGCGTGCTCCGCGAGGTAGAATCTCTCTCTCTCTTCCCCTCCAGAGACCGTGGATTGTATAAAATGGTGATCCACTTTATCGACAACGACGGCTGCTCCGAGATTCCGGAGCGATTTAAACGCCGACTAATTCGAAGACATGAAACACAAGATGATTAAAGATTATCGACCAGAAAACGATCTTCTGCAGTTTGGAGGATAGAAACGAAAGAAAGGTAAAAGAATATCAAACTATGATATATATCGCTTGCTCGAATAGAGGTGGATATCTGTGGAAGAAAAAGAATAATGACTCGAAACATATAAAAAAAAAATCGAAACCTTTGTGTAATTCAAGTCATTATCTCTTTACGTTCAAATTAGAGGTTCAACTGTGATTATATTAATAACATTAATTAATACATATTATATGTACAAATATTTACATTTTTGTGTATTATTAATATATATCATGATATGTACAAGTAAATATACACAAATACAGAAACTACAAATATATTTTATTATTACAGTTTTTTTTCTACAAACGCACTTCTATATATCAGTGCTCTAAATGAATATGACACTCAGGTAATGAAGACTATTTAACAGCGTTTAGCGCGAGATCTGTCACTCCTCGTGACAGGGGAGGCTTACCAATCGAAGCCGGATCGAGCAAGTTACGAGCCCGTGTCAGACTTGCGCAGCCTCGTCGTGAAGTGGACGCGCATACACAGTACGCGACACCTGGACACCTGCCGCGGGAACATTGCGACGGCGCGATGCGTCGTTTCAGTTCCGGCGTTTCCCGCACCGCCCGAGCACACCGCGGCGGCAGCGGCGGCGGCGGCGGCAGAGCGGAACATTGCGGAGCGGCGACGGCGGGCAATAGACATGCGGCGTAGAGCGGGACGAGGTGCGCCAGGGGCCGGGCAGCGTTCGCGCCGTTAACCCGCCCGAGGAGCCGTCGATGGGCTTGTGCCGCGACGACGAGCAAGTGCGTTTAGAGGACGACGCGTGCTCGCGACGACTTCTACGATGTAGCCCGACGTTATTGCGACGCGGTTCTATCCGTACATATAACTTGTCAGGCTTACTTCTCAATTCTTTTTCTCGTACACACTTCGTCCTTTCGCCGTCATTATCATCGTCGCCGTCCTAGCCGGTGTCACGGTGACGGACAAACGGGTAACGCGTGACCGGGTGAAAAAAAAAAAAAACAAAAATCCGATCCTCGCACGTGTGAGATCGCGCACAAAATTGATCGCTTTCGGCACGCGAGACTTTGGTTTACGAAAGAACATGGCCAGCTCGCCTACCAGCATCGAAAACCAGATCGACAGCTTCCTGGAGCAGTTTAAGCGCAGCGCCTCCCGTGCAATGGAAGAGACCACCGCCGCGCACCACCATCGAGCCAGCAGCTACAACGCCTGCAGCAGCAGCATCAGCCGCAGCCGCAGCGGGAACTTGGACCTGGAGCTGCTCGAGGCGGGTAAGTTTGTTCGATCGTTCGGAGTTCGAGAACTCGCGAAAGGAAAGAGAGAGAGAGAGAGAGAGATAAGGAGAGCGGGAGAATGTGCTTCCTTCGCGGTCACTCGATTGTCAACACGCGGGGTTTTCAATTTCTCTTTATTTTTTTCTTTCAAAATCAAAACTTGCGAAAGAAAGTTTCGTCGCCTAACTCACATTGCACTTTTTTTTTTTTTTATTAATTGCGACGCAACCGTGGAAGAAAGTTCATTTTTAAGCGAACTTCTTGAAAGGTCGTTGTAACCGGTTCTACGAAATGTATGTTGCACTTGGTTGCACTGTCGGGAGGCGTAAAACAGTCGGGAGCTTCAAGAAATGTGGAAATTTCCACATCAAAATGCGCATTTTAAAATTTGTGTCACTCGCTTTTAATTGATCCTGTGCAAAATGCAAGTTGTATACGCGCGTATTATACGTAGTTACGTACATATATCGTTTTGTCAGATAAAGCCCGGAATCTCGAAGGTTCCGAGTCGCATGACTAAACGCGCAATTTAAAATTGACTTCTTGCGGTTGGAAATGTACTTACACATAGTTTTTGTCGTTGCGTCTGCGAGATAAATTCGGAAGAATTTTGAACTCTCAAAACACAATCGACTCTTCTTGACGTTACTTCTCGCGCGGACGAATTTTATATTGAGATAATTTCTCTGTATTGTTCATACTCGGTGTTTCTGCGCTCCCATACACAAATATATTCCATATTTTCTCTCTTTACCGTTTTAATTTCTTTTTTTTTTTTTTTTTTTTTTTTTTTAAACTGCGCTTTGATTATACGTACCTACACGTACAATGAGAAACTCTCTCTCTCTCGTGACGAATTACGAATTTATGCGAGATGTCTCACGACGTAATGCAGCTTTTAAGCCGCTTTCTGGAGATTTTGGGATTTTAATTACCTCAGGTGTCTCTCCGGCTCGTTCCCTCCTTAGTTGGGACATGGAGGATGGATTTTGATCGAATTTCCTGATTTTAATCTCGCAGTGCCGCGGGCAGACGTCCGTGCTTTTATTATTTGCTTGCCGAGTGTGACGTTGAGTGGTGGAAGCGATTGATTAAAAAGCTCGATTCGCGGGAATGTGAGCGCTCGGCCAAGTCTTTCGTATTCCGTTCCTCAAATTGTGTGTATCGATTTTCGTATGTATTATTGCTCGAAAGTATCTGGTCCGAGCCGCACGCGAAATGCTGTTAACCAAAGCGAGGAAGATCGTTCTCGAAGGTATTTCACTCTTCTCCGTCTCTACAAAAACTCACACACGTAAAATTGAATTATTTTGATGAAATTGTGAAACGGGATGTGAAATGTGGCGTTTGCTCTTAATAATTGATTGGATTAAATTGATTTTTATCTCACTTTTATCTCAAATAAGTCTTTTAAGATATTTATACAAATAATTTATATAAACGCGAAAGAGATATTGCTTGTAGAAAAATTCGCGTTCACGTGAAATAAAAAAAAATTTTTTTAATTTACGTAAAATACTTTTTTTTAAATTATTCTTGTGTTTTCTCTCTGGCTTTTATTTTTAACCAAGTATCAACCGACTCAACATAACGAATTATGGATTTATTTATTGAAAAAGTCACAGTGTGTTATATTGATTTATAAGACAACAGAACTCACGTTTCGCGCATTTACGTATCGTCACAATTAGTCGAATATGACGCGTTCTATATTCATAATTAAACCTCTTCCTTTTCTCATCTTGATACATTGCATCAATATCCTGTCTACGACGTTTTTTTTCTCTCTCCGAAACACCTACTACATACAGAAGTCGATTAAAAGTGAATTTCCGTTTTTTTTTTTTTTTTTTAAATGACGCAATTAATCGAATATATTAGTCGGGTCTATGGATCTGTATATTGGTTGGTACAAAGTGTCCTTTGCGCAAAAATTTTTCCTCTCGTACGTGTGAATTACGGCGAAGCCGCGTTTGATGATGACGATAAATCAATTTGCCGCTCGATGGAGTGAATAATTGAGTAATAACATTATATCGCAAAATACATCTTCAGATACAACGTACTCATACATTTGTTTTATAACTGCTTGTGAAGTAAACTCTTCATTTGAGAACATTCGCCGATCTGCAATAAATATAACTTTGAGTGTATCGTTTTAATTTCTGATCTGTATAACGTGATAAGAACGATAAGCATTTGCAAGATATTCTCTTTATACAATGATATGTCATGTATATTTTTTTCCGTCTATGCTTAAATAAATAAATAAATAAGTATATATATATATATATATATATATACATACATACATATATTTAGTTAAGCTTTTAGTTCAACACACGTTTCGTAACATGAACAAGTTATATTGCTTGCCACGCGCTCCCTCACCGTCTATTATTCATGCTAGAGTTAATCCTTTTATATCGTAATAGCCTTTTCGTTCATCCATCCTTTACAGAGGATATACATACCTTATCAATATATAAACGCAAGAATGATTATATTTATTCCATTTTTTTAACGTTGAGATAGACGCAAAGAAAAAGTGCTTCTCGACGCTTTGCGAACTAATTGTGTTATCGGCCTTATTTTTTACACCTTCGGAGGACGAAATAAGACTGGGAGAACCTGGTACAAAAAGAAAAAAAAAATAGTCGAGAAAAATCTCATTTGACGCAAGAATAAGACCGTCCGATTTTGACAGCGCGACACGCCGCGAGTCACGTGCACTCGTTCCCTCCTCGACGATCTAGCTCGCTCGCCATTGGCCGCTTCTGTTCGTCCTTGCCTCCACCGCCTAGCAGGGCCGTAACTAGGACGTGTGTCCAATCCTTGAAGCACCAAGTCAAACTGATACGAACGAATTGCAATTTTTTCACTCGAAATAGCTGAATCGATCGTAAAAAAATCGTAGAAAAATACACATTTTCGAATTCAATGATACAATATTGAAAAAAAAAAAAACGCTCTTTTAAAACCACAATTTTCCAAAAACGTTGCGCAACTGATTATGTCAATCGACTTAAAACTGCATACTTTACTTTCGCAATATCCTACGCAATCTTATCTCGTTTCCAGGGGTTTGAACATATAGTAACTCGATTATCCCATCCCTGCGGCGACGCCACGTTATGGCGCCGCCGTCGCCGCCGCCCGTGTTGTAGTCGTCGTCTGCATCGCAACGTATCGGAGCTGAAGCTCCGTTCGTCCGTCCGTTCGTTTATTGTTCGTCGGGGTCCGTCGAGTCGAGACGCAACGACGACACACCTCGTATCTTATTTATTCTCGCATTTCTCGTGACACACAAAAGAACGACAAATCGTCCTCGTGCGGGGTGCGGAAGCACGACCGGGCACTGCGCAACGGCGTGGCGGCGTCAACAAGACGTTCGGGAGCATAAGAGTGTATATTATATATACACATATATATATATACATACACAAGAGGGGAGTCGCCGGCGATTCGTGTGCGATTCTATCGATCACACGCGGAGTGTCAACGGGTGTGTGCGTACGATGTTTTCTCCGCGGCGCGATCCGCGTGTTGCCGCCGAATTTTATCCGCGCGAATTCGCGCGTGCTACGCCGGTGAGCGTCTCTCACCGGTGTGCACTTTAAATACCAACAACAATACGCTATCGCGCGATATCGTTGTGCGCCAAACGAAACAAGACGTTAAATACCCACGTGCACGGGTGAGTAATATCCGCGACCGGGCTTTTGTTCGCGCCGGAGTTAATATATCCGGCTTACACAAGGAAGCCCGAGGTTGGTTGGTCGACGAAAATAGACGACGCGGAGAAGTATGAAACGCGCGACGTGAAGTACATTTGACCCTTTGTGAGAGCACAGAGAGATTCGTGAATTCGCGACGGCAGAAACTGCGCTTCTCGTGAGTGATTGTGTGTCAGAGATTTAATGAGAACGCGATGTGTTGCATCGGTTGCTCTTCTTCGGCACAACACGGCGGCGGAGATTTCGCGTGAGAAAGCGACGCGCGCGGAAGTGGAATTTGATGAGGTTTAATCATATTATAGGGTGCAAAAGATTGCAATCTCAACGGAAATAAGAAACGATTCTCACGTCACACGTCGAGATAGATTCGCGCAAATTTGTTCGCGCAATATTTTGTAAAATATAACAGCGGGCAAATAAAACGTAAAAGAGTCGATGTAACGAAATAGAATATTTAATTCTCGATTACGCTTGTTATTTAAATTATATCAATGATTGATTTCACGTTTGTTGCGCAGAAATTGTAATACATGACTGCAGCGTCGAGAAATCGAATACGCGTATCAATTGGATAACGTGCGAATTAAGAAACACGTGCTTTTTTCTATTTTTATTTCAAACTTCACTTTCACTGTATCGAATTTCACAAGTTGTGGAGAGTTGTTTCTGCATGCACTCTGTCGAAATTTAAAACCGGCACGACGCAATATCCAGCACGGCAATTGTGTTGTACGTATCGACGAAGCCGGACACGGTCGCGTCGATCGTGAACCGAGCTGTAGCGTCGGCGATAAACTTGGTCGTCTCGCCTAAGTATTGACCATCGAACACTTGTCTTGCGACTGATAACACGACGACTTGTTAATTAAGGCGTCGCACGATTGGCCAGATGCACATTTTAAGACGTGAAACGTTAGAGCTCCGGAACAAAAATGACGCGAGTGACATCACGAGAAACGAACTAATGTTCGCTGTGTGATTATCGCCAACTATAGAGGATTATTCCACACAGTAGAATTAATCCACATTGAAACGACTGATCGGCGCACAAATCCTCACCTCCAAGTGCGATAAAAAGTTAACCGACAAAATCTCACCGATGTGATAGGAGTCCTTGCAAAATATACGATAAGGGACTGGAAATATTCCTCCGATAAATTGCGAATTGATATACTGTTATATTGTATTTAATATGCACATTTTAAAATGTATATAAATTTTTTACAAATGTTTATATATCATTACGGTAGTTTTACAAATTCTATATGTTTATTTATTTTATATATATTATAAATTGTTTTCTTTTTAAATACGCGATTTAACTTTCAACCACAAAAAACTAACTTCATATAATTTGGAATATTAGACATACCGTTTCTCACGCTAACGACGCATTAGTAACTATATAGTATATGATGCAAATATAATGCAAATTATTTAACTACCACTTAATATTTATTTAATTTTGTAGTGTATTTTTATCGCAACGTATATATCACGCTATAGAGTTAAATGCGGAGAACGTCCCTTTGCGACAGGGTTGTTGGACGTGAATACGTTCGTATCGATCAAAAAGAACCCTCCCGTGCATCTTTGATGAAGCTCTCTCCCGCGCGGCGCATACAACACGTGCAACCGTGTGCAACATGACCGGTGCATCCTCGTGGCAAACTACCGAGCGTGAAACAACGTGACCATGCATCGTCGTCTTCTGTCGGGACACGGAGATGTAATTGACTGTAAATAGAGCCGCGTGGCAAAGTGTTCGCGTGTTTTACTAAACGTGCCAAAGAAATTACAAACATGTTTGTTCTTTTTTTTTAACAAAAAATATCAGTATAATATAATGCGGTAATTTTAATTGGTAATTTTAATATATACAATGCGATCTCTCTTTCTTTCTCTCTTTCTCTCGTTCTACAAGCATAACGCGACGCGGTTATATATCTTACAACAATATTTTTCTTAAAACTAACATTATTTTTCTGTATAATAAAAATATTATTTTACGACGATAAACAATTTTTTCTTACTCTGCTAGAAAACGTATTACGTAAAAAATATTACAATTGCACGTCGGGAAGACTACGTTTTTCGAATGATTACATTAGAACGAGAAAAACACTTGGAGGACGTTTGCAGCGTTGCTAAGTTTTCGCGACAGTATACAGCTAAGCACAGGAAGTGTGTGTGTGTGTGTATGTGTGTGTGTTTGCGTATGTCGTAATATCAATTTACGATACATAGCAAATTGTACATTACGTCACTCGACAATGTTCGACTGGTGTGCAAGATAGACTGAAAAAAAAAATTTAATCGCGCCTCGTTATATTTGAACAAAAAATGGAAGAAAGCACGTTTCGATCTGAGAAAGTTCAGGTTTTTATCAGAGGACAAAAAATTTCACGTTTTGCTGAATTTGAAAATGTCTGTAGAAACGTCCTCACAGCCTAGTTGAATAGCGCTGGTTAGAATAACCGATATTATCGCGCAACGTTTAATTACGACGCGGCAATAACTCGTCGAACGAACTTTAGCTACCGGCGAATTTCGCTCGTCGCATCGACCGTCAGTTTATTCGCAGTATCGTACCAAGTTTCTCAACACGATAACGCACTCACATTTCGCCTCTTCAAAACTTGATAAAAATTCTATACAATATATAAGAGAGAATATATAACATAAATTTGCTCTTGCATATAATTCTCTTTCAGCAAACATTTTTCGCATTGTAATAAGCTTCAGCAAATTTTTGTTTCTTAGAACAAAAACATTGTATTCGTGAAATTGTGCTTCAAATTATTACATTGACGGCTCGGAAATAAGAGGAAAGCACACCTAATGAAGGATCGTCTTGTGAGTCGAGAGAATCAAATAACTCTCTTCCTCTCAGAAGACATCTTACGAAATACTTTGTGTGTCAGACATTCCATTTGTTTTGTTGGACAATACATTGTCACAATAGTGCCGTGTAGCACGGTTTCGCTACAATAGTGGTATAGAATGTGCTCAAAGACACGAAGCGAGGAAGAAAGTTTAAGTTCAAACGAGGAGTTAAATCGGCTTGTGGAACAGACTGTAGCCCGGTGGTGCTTGATGATCGTCTCCGTCACAGAAGAGTGTTGATTGCATTGCGCTCTATTGTATAAGTTGCAACGTTCCGTGACAATACGATAAGTATCGGACCGCCAGCAGCGGCAGAGAGAAGCGAGCCAAGATGATTCTACGCCAAAAGTCGTCGCATAACTGCAATTGTCCCTGCCACCAACACTGCTCCACCAAATGCGGAGGTTTGAAATCTTCAATGCTTAATACAATTTGTTTTTGTCTTTTTTTTTTTTTTTTTTTTTCACGAGAGACTTGAATTTTTTGCACGAAATCGGCGCATTTGCGCGCCCCAAACAAAACCATTCGCGTGTAAGTCCGTCGTCAACCTTATCTTTACCATTGTTCGATTTACATTTCGTATCTTTTGACAGTTGATATTATTCTTTTACAGTATGTGTAGGACGCGTATACATACAAAAGAATTTTTCAACGATTTACACACGAAACGTCTTACTGAGAATAATCTTTGTTTATTTTTACACACATGTGACATGTGTGTTTTATATATTCTCATTAAAATATGTATTCATTAAAAAGTATAAATAACGACCGCAAATTTGTCGTTTTTTTATTTTTATTTTTTTTTTATTTGAAGTGAGCGCGATTCTTTGTGCCGTGAAAAACGATCGTGACTTAAATGCGGAATCGAGAACCCCCGTTTATGTACGACGTTTTACGATAAGTCGCGGCGACCTTACAAAGCCGCCGCGCGATTCGTTTCCCATGGATTTTCTGCTACTTCGAAGAATAAAGAGGATTTACGGCGAAATCGATTAAGAAAAAAAATGACATTTTTACACTTTAACACGTGAAATTACATAAAATATTTTTACTTGTTTCGTTTCCTGTTGTCACTTTCTGCTTAAAACATTTTGTTTTTTTTTTTTTTTTTTTTTTATAGGCGGTAAAACATAGTCTACGTGCGCACAGAGATAGAAATTCTCTGTAACTTGTAAATCTCGTACTCCAAGACGAGTCTCCACCACGTTCTTTGCACGCGCGCGCGCGTGTGTGTGTGTGGTACATGCTATTTGGAGCGTGTTCATCGTCGCAGCATACGGTGTGCATTTTGCATGCATGTGGTCTCTCTCTCCTCGGCCAGTGTTTCTCGCCGCCCCTCGCTCGCACGATTGCGCTCGCTCCACGCGCTCTGCTTGGGACGAGCAACGGAGAGAAAAGGCGCCAGGGCTGTATCCGCGCGCTCTCTCCTATCAATCAATAATCCGCATATCTGCTTCCGCGTTCGCTCGAGACGTCGTCGTCGTCGTCGTCGTCGTCGTTCTCGTCGGAGCGAACTCGGAGTGGAAGTTCTTTGTCGAAGTTAGCACTGATTTTAGTCTGATCCACTTTGCGCAATTTGCGAACTATTTGCGTTCGATATGTACATTTTTCAGTGTCGTACACATTCCGTTTTATTAAATTTTGCTGACGATATCTCGCTGGAAGATTTAATTTTTTTAATCAATCGTTAATTGTCTCTCGTTTTTATTTGTCGACTGAATGAAATATGCAAGACTAACATCACAGATGTCGCAGAGATTTACTAAATTTTCCAGAGACACACAGACAGATCATACGCATTCGACGAAGTGAAAGAAAATTAATTAACAAGTAAATTATGAATTAACTGAATTTTGACATAATAACGAGCAATATTATATAACTTTATTATTTCATTTGCATCGTAAAACGCGGAGGGAATTTTAATTTATTGATCTCTACAGCATGTTTTAATTAAGCGAATTATTCCAGTGTCTGGAGATAATTGCTTTATCACGATTCGATTACAACTGAAGAGATCAAATTTTAAAAATTTATTTTACGTGTTGCGCGAAATTGATCTTCACAGAAAACTGGGAAAATTGAAACGTGAATTTGTTGAAATATAAATAATTCTTATCGAAGGATTTTGATCAAGAATCTTGATCTTTTGCAAGACGTAATTACGTGTACGTTTATATATATATGCAAGCAAAGAAAAAGCAAAGGGTTAGAGAGAGGAGAAATAGACAACCCACCCTTTTTGGGCACGGCCCTGGGAGAGTATTGTCCCCTCTACCTACAATAACACGAACTAAATGTTCGCCATATCGTTGGTAGTGTTGACTGATGAATACGGCACGATTTATCGTGTCGAACGTCAAGAACGGTTTGTGGAAGTGTTGTCTTGTCGACGTGACACCGGCTAAATCACGCGACAGTACGTCCGGAACGCGGAATTTGCGATACTCAATCACACAACAGTAAGTATCGCCGTCGATGTAGCGAGCCTTAGAGACGAAAGTTGGTTACTGAGGGGCGCGATCAGCGATTCTCGACCTTTTGGTTTTTCACGTTCCCTTCGGCTAATTCTTTTTTCAAACGATGATTTTCATTTTTTTTTTTCGAGTACTAGATACAAAAAGTGCAAACTTTCTGAAAATCGCTCTTTTCTTCTTCATCGATTTCTTTCTGCTTCAAAATAAAAGGTTTTGTTAAAAAGTAAATAGTAAAATAAAAAAAAATAATATCTCTGAAAAAAACTAATAAGATAGATTCATTTTTAAATTGCAAAGTTTTAAATCTCTTTTATCTCACCGAAAACTTACAACTATTGGAATATTTTTTTTGATTGAGATTTTGTTTAAAAACAGATTATAAAATATATTTTGTCATGACAGGATAGTACAAACGCTTTAGATGAATTGGAGATCAATATGGAGCCAATATCAGAAGATATTATTAAGGGAGAAATAGATAAAATAGATATAACACTTGAGTCTGACACACAAGATATTGCTGATAAAAGTAAAACAAAACCGTTGGAAATAAATGAAGTGAAGGAGAAGGTAAAACAATGTGTATAATATTAAAAAAATTTCTATCATCTTGTTTTGATGTTTGCAATATAAATTATTAATCTCTTACAGAAACTAGGAAAATCTCTATGTTCAACCGGTAAACCAAAGAAATCTATTGTCAAAGATAAAGGAAAAAAGACAGAAAATGATCAATCCAGTCCAGCTGGTCGATCCAGTTACGATTCCACACAATTGGAGGACAGTCCAGCGCAGGTGTTAGAACGTTTCAAGAGAGGGTGCGAGTGCGCTGACGATCAATGTTTCAAGAATCTGAATCCGGAGATCGTATATCGGCACAGATTGAATATTGCAGAACTGACTAAAGCCGAGCACGACATGTATTTAATGGGTGTAACAATGGCCTGTTTGACGGATCCCTATCAAACGGCCCGACATACGGAACGGCGCAGATTACGCGCTCAATATGTTTATCAGGGCCGAAGAGTGTGCCTGGAGGCGTTTTTGTATCTCGAGAATTGCACGCACTATCAAATCAAACGGATCCGAAAGCACTTAATGACACACGGTGTGACGCCGCGCGTACACGGCAATCAAGGCAAAATCCCGCACAACACGTTCTCTCTGGACATATACAAGATCGCCATACAGTTTTTGAAAAACTTCGTCGACCAGCAGGAGGTCAGGCAGAAAACTAAACTTGTCAAGAATGCGCCACTTCATTTGTCACCGGATATAACGCGGAAAACCGTGCACGAACTGTACGTTCAGTATTGCAAAGAAGTCTCGCCCAATGTCAAGAGCATGGGTTACTCGACGTTTCGACGATTCATGAAGGTGCAGTTTCCCCAAGTAAAGTTCGCCAAGCTAGAATTTGTGGTAAGAAATCAGACCGCGCAGAGTCACTGTCAGACAGATTCTGCCGACTCAAGAGACGACACGGGTCAACAGAAATCATCTCAGGTAGAAGGCACGATATTGCCGTTGGTGATAACTAACAATTTAAGACAGAACGAGACCTACGTATTAACACCTATCAGTAAATTACAGGATGGCGTGAGTTATCACGTCACTACTTGCGGATTGGTAGTCAACAATCCTAGTGTTACGAAAACAAACGCGATATAAACCAGAAGATTGCATGTGCAAACATGAATTTATATATGAATGTGATATCTATACTAAGGTTCTAATTTCGAGCCTAAACTGAAGATGTTTTAACCATCACGCAATATATAGATATTTGACGGAACAAAAACTACTTCATAACTATATATGCTCATAAGAAAAGCATAGAATCTTTTAAAACAAAAGAAAAAAATTTATAAAATTTATTAGATTGTATGTATTGAATTATTGTATTACAGATAATTCTATTGCGTTATTTCTATCTTTTTTCTGTTTCACTCAGAACTGATAATAGAATTTTGTTGTATTAAAAGTCACAGTATTTCTGTATTAATAAACAACAATTTAATTATTTAGGCAAATAATTTTTAAATTTTACTTTATGTAAAGAGATGAAAAATGTACAATGTTATATACAAGTCTTTTATACACATTCTTTACAGGACACCCTATGTCCGTATATACATATGTATATATATAACATTGTATATATAACAGTATATAAAGAAAATAACTTATATAAAGTACAAATAAAAATATGATATATTATTACTGTCATTTTGTTTGTTAAAAGATACCAAAATGCTTGTTACCTGAAAATCACATCTTAATAATAATGACAAAACGTATTAAAACGTATTTTGAAAGTCTGCATTTGTGCATGAAAGTAGAGAACATTGAAAAGATTTTTATATGTTACACAATGAATATGTTATAAGATATTTTGTTATATTTTGTCAAAAAGATTGTATAAAAATAAAATATATGTAAAAAATCTAGAAAATATATAATAACGTTAAAAACTTGTAACGTGCCAGTTCTCTATTTTACAGCTAAATATATTTACACATACACAATACTTTTTCTTTAAAAATATAACAAGTTGTATTTTTAAATAGTTATATTTGTTATGACTTGTATAAATATTATCAAGTTTGATACAAAGATTTCAATGACCTAGTATTTGAAAAGTAAAGAATCTTGATATTTCTTATTCCCTGAATTTTCTTTCCAAACATGGAAATCAACTAACCACAGTAGTGGTAACAGTGCTTCTCAATTCATATAAAGACGGACATTTTCATATTTGAATACTAGTATCTCAATTTTTTATTACAAATATTAAGTAAATTTTGTTATAAAATTTTATTTTCAGTACATCTATTGAAAAAACATTTTGTATAACTATATATAATATTTTTTTACTTATTGGAAAAAGCATTTTAAATTATGCGATTTAAAATATATAAATTTAATGATTATAAATTTCTTAGAAATACATAGTTAATTTAAAAAATATATATGTGCACCATATACATATATAAATATTTTCTTATAATATATGCTTTTTTGTTTTCTTGTTTTTTTTCAGCGTTTATATCAAAAGTGATCAGAAGTTTCTTATCAGAAATTTTGGATAGAATCAAATGCGTGTATTTTAATTTGTGTTACGAAGATCGGGGAACTTATAGAACATATTTGAAAACTTGACATACACATATTTCTTCTTGATATTTTAATTAAAATTATGTATTCTTCCCTGTTTGAGAGCCTCTTAATTTACAGTTATATTAGCAATATTGTGGGTACTGTAGGAAACTGTTTCAGATGGATAGCATCAGCAAGGTCATGTGAGTGCAACCTCTGATCAGGTACTCGCATTCAGTACACCAGTGAGACCTGAGCCGTGCATTCACAGCAAACATTGCATAAGAGGCGATTACAATTAGGATTATTATCACTTAAATTTTTTTTCTTGTAATAAATAATATTCAATTACAGAGTGTACACATTTTCTTAATAATATAAACAGTTTGTTTTTGGCTTCTTAACTCTGAACTCTATAAATAAAAAATATATATGGTAAATAAACTTATATCATTACATATATGATTATGTTATAAATATGCAATAGAATCCTTGTTACAACCGTGTCTTTGTGTCAACGATAATTATTGTTGAATATTTAAATTTGTAAAAATAACAAATAACGTTTGTGCAAGTTTTGATTAATTTATTGTAGACATTTAAATAATTTTAATATAATAAAATATATTGAATATTTTTTAATATTAAAATGGTTTTACATGTATAAAATATTGATGTAATTTTTTTAAAATATAGAGAATAATTTCTTTTAATATTTAATAATTTCTTTTAATTTGATTGCAGAAGATGTAGAGAGTATGACAGGAGAGATAGAAAATGGGGACCTGGCAGTTCGAGATGTTGCAGATCTTCTTCAAGCACAATATGCTATTATTGCTGGTAAATATGTAGGGCTATAAATTGTTTTAGATTATAATACGTTTTTTTTAGCACAAAAAATTTAATTTTTGTGTGAAAAACTTTTAATACCAAATAATATTTCTATTAATATTTTTGTTCAGGAGGAAAAACGCGAGAAGGATGTCCTATAATCACTTTTCCGGACAATGGCAACTTTCATAATCTGACTGATTTAGATTACCAACGTCTCATGTTATATCTCACTTCCGTACCAACGTGAGCATATAAATCTTTGTAATTTTACAAAAGTCAATTGCTATATATAATTTTCTATCTTATGTTGTATTTTATACTATATTTTATGTTATTACATTTGCTATTTTATGTACATATAAACTTATCAATATTTAGGTTGCAAGAAGCTGATCTTGGATTTCATTTGATAATTGATCGGAGGAACGACAAATGGAATTCGGTGAAAACAGTTCTTTTGAAAATTTCTGTACGTATACATTGCACACTAAAATATCATCACTGTTATTTATACTAAAAATATTTACTTATGATAATAATAATAATTTTATTTTTTTAGGCTTTTTTTCCTGGTCTAGTACATGTCGCATATGTATTGCGACCGGTTGGATTTTTACAGAAGGCCATTTCGGAAGTGTCGAATAAATTGTTCCGAGAAGATTTCAAGTTCAGAGTTATATTCTTAGCTAACGTCGTTGAGCTTCATGAATTCATAGATAAAGATCAACTCACCGAACAGCTTGGTGGCAATTTATCATATTGCCATCACACTTGGATACAGAATAGAATTGTAAATATGTCAAAACAAATTATTAACACTCATGCCAATTTTTTCATGTTCGGTAGTAATGAAGGTTGTTTTATTTATTTATTTTTTTTTATAGAGTTTGGAAAAATTTTCATCAATGACGCAAGACGTATCCCTCGCGTTAGACTCTTTCACGCGACGTTTGGCGGAAGTGGAGTTCCCTAACAATACCATTGCTACTACAACATTACTATCGCAGCAACAGGCTGAATATAATGAATTGAAGGAAGAAATACTTAGCGCTGCCAGACACGGAGAAGCTCTTCTGGATAGCGTACGACAATTAACTGGGAAAGGAACAGCTGACAGATTGGGAAATGTTGCTGCGGTAGAAAGGTAGCGCGTCTAATTCTATTTTAATTAATGCAACAAATAAGCTTGTATTTTATAGAAAATAAGCTTTTATAATTTTTAACTAGCATTATATGCAACAAAATGCACTCGTGTGAAAGCATGATTGATGTTTATATACTAACATATAACGCTGTCATTCACTTTTAGATTACTTGTCCAGTTGGAAGAAACTGAACGGACATTTGACTTATTCTGGTCACATCATAGCTCGCGTTTGAGACATTGTTTGGCTCTGAGACAATTCGAGCAAGATTTTCGAGAATTGCAAGCGACATTAGATCAACATTTGAAGACAGCCGAAGAGATGACGGAGGTCGGGGAAACGCAAGCAAGAGTGGATCAACTACTGCACGACACATCAGCATTCCAACGTATATGCAGAGTATGTAGCTTTGTTACATTTTTACTTGAAAATTTCACATATAACACTATATATATTGTCAACTTGACATATGTGATTATTTTTCTTATAAAATATTCAATTGAAAAAAGTGTAAAACTACAATATAAATCTATCATATAAAAATGATGAAATTATTATGACAAAATTAGCGGAAGCAATATGACAACACGACTTGGGTTTGAGAATGTACACATTGCACTCTGAGCACCAAAATGCACTATTCAAACCAGTATATCTATATTCTCTACAAAAGTCTCAAATAGACTGTTTTTCTTCTTACAACATAAAAACGCTACGTAATAAAAATATAATATGATTATATTTAGAATTGTAATCGTGTTAAAAATGTGAAGTGTGTTCATCTCCTTCGTAAATTCTGGTTTGAACGTGATCACAAGCAATGACATATATAAAGCACAATCATGCACAAATGTTACTTTGCACCGCTTTCCTCATTTTGTCGATAGTCCTATTTGTTGCATACCATGTGGATTTGGGTCTTGGTAAGCAGTCCACTTGACAAAATACATATATTCTGTGATAGACATTAACATTTAAAACACAGTGATCTTGATATCTTAGAGTATCTACATATATATATATATAATATCTCAGTCTTTATAAATTACCATATCTTCGAGTCAAATAGATACCGTTACGTTTTAAAGAGAGTTATCGTAGGCGCTATGAATTAAATCTCTATACGTTTATACATTTTTTAGTCAGTTTGAGCTGATACTATTTCTTTTTCTTTCTTTTTTTTTTAGTTGAAATGCACGTATAAATGTCGTCGAACGACCGATGGAGATTTGATTCATGTCTGATAATGGCATGGTGAACTTTTGAGAATGAACTATCATTATGATTTCTCGCTCTCTTTTTCTTTCTCTCTCTCTCTCTCTCTCTGCATTGCACGCATAATAGTACATTTCTTTTGCGAGAAGATTTTTCATGCGCTAGACGATTTATGATAAAATTAAAAACAATGTCATGTGGTTATGTTTGTAGCATTTTCACTTAATGTACTAAACTCTAATTGCGTTATTGTGCATAGGTATAATTACATTTGTTTATAGGGAGACATAGATCGCGCGGAGGAAGTGATATCTGCTGGTCAACAGTTGCTGTCTGGCAGACATCAGTGCCCGGCAGATGTTGTGGAACCTAAGTGTGTGGAGCTGCAAAGGGTTTGCACCATTCTCAGCCAGAGATTGGAGAGACGATTACACATGCTAACCAAGTGCAGAGAACTTATGGAGCGTATAGATAAGGTATAGAGAGAGATTCTTGTGCATTTTCGATTCTATTTATTTAATCTTATTGAAACTAAATATTAATCAACATACAGGCCAACACTTGGTGCACGCGAGGAATAGAACTGCTCGCGTCGCAGAACAGCACCACACCACCAGATCAGGCGCTTCAAGAGTTGCAACAACTTATCGAAGCGGCAGAAGAATTTCATCATCCCCGATGTATTTTTCAGGATTCTGTGATGCCAGAAACAAAAGCACTCATCACGCAGGTATATATATATATGTATTTTTAAAAGAGTTTAATTAACAATTTTACGATTTTTGTTTTGACTTGAAATTCGTCTCATAGGTTCTGCAAAGGATAGAAGATGTGTCTCTGATGTGCGACAAAAGAATAATGGCACTAAAACAACAATTGATTAAACCAGCCAGACCAGTACAAACTGTTACTCCGGAACCAGTAAAACCTTTGCAATCACTGCCTCAGACTGTGAAACCTGGCAGAGTTCTAAAAAAGGCCAATACTATGCCAAAGGTATAAATTTTCATTCGATCTTATAATAATCGTGATAACTGATAAATATACAAAAATAACATTTGCATATTTTTTGAGATGGAAATGAGTCCTATAGAAGGAGAATCCTCGTCACCGGAAAGCGAGCCCCGAGACGTCGAAGCTTTGCGCTTAAAACGCGGTCATGTCTTGGCAGAACTCGTAGAAACCGAACGAATTTATGTTTCTGAGCTTGGCTCGATTATTAAAGGTTATAAAATGGAAATGACAAACGAGACGATGGCTCATCTCATACCTGCGGCATTGGTCGGCAAAGCGGACGTGTTGTTTGGCAATTTAGAAGATATTTATATTTTTCACGGAGAAACATTTCTGAGAGATTTGGAAAACTGCATTTCAAATACTGAGCTTGTTGCCTTGTGCTTTGTTCAAAGGGTGAGCGCATATCTTATATTTCTAACTTCATGCTCCACGATTTAAACACAATTAATTTAATGTTACGTTTTTTAGCGCGAGGTGTTCTTTAGATTGTACAGTTATTATTGTCAAAATATCCCGAGGTCCGAGAGATTGCGCGAGCAAATACAAAGCGAGCCGCAGTTTCTCGCAGCCTGTCAGCAAAAACTCGGCCACAAGTTGCCACTTGCTGCTTATCTTCTCAAGCCCGTTCAGCGTATTACCAAGTATCAGTTATTGTTAAAAGATTTGTTAAAGTATAGTGATGAACCTTCATGCTGCACCGAGCTGCAAGAAGCACTAGATTGCATGCTGGTTGTGTTAAAGTGCGTTAATGATAGCATGCATCAAACTGCAATAACAGGTTTTGGAGTAAGCATCTTAACGTTATTTTTATCGATATTATTAGATTATTTATATTTTTGCTTATAACTTGTGTCTCACGCTTACAGGGCGATCTGAGTGCACAGGGTGAATTGTTGTTACAAGGGTCGTTTAGCGTTTGGAGCAGTAGTAAGCGGGAGCGGCTACTGAGACTGAAACCATCTCAGCGACATATTTTCTTATACGAAAAAGCTCTGATATTTTGTAAACACAGCAAGCCTCAGGCTCACAATAAAGCCACGTATCATTTTAAGAGATATCTAAAGGTATTTTTCTTGTGCTTCTTGTATATCTTAGAACGATTTTTTTCGTATATCAACTCAAGTATATAAATCATATAATTGGTTTCATTTAATACAGATGTCGCAAATTGGTTTGACGGAATCGGTGAAGGGCGATGCCAAACGTTTCGAAATATGGTTGCAAGGAAGATCTGAAGTGCACACAATACAAGCGCCCAGTATCGATGTCAAGCAATCCTGGGTACGTCAGATCAAAGGCGTTCTAATGTCCCAATTAGCTGAACTCAAAGGGAAACAGAATTCCGCTCTTGGCAAATCCAATCACAAGTACGTTGATCGCTGTTTAAAAATTACCTAACGCACAAATTTCAAATCGTCTAACTAACTAATTTATCATTCCGTTTACTCATAGGCCATTGCGTCAAACAATTTCGTGGGAAGCTCAAAGTAGCTTATCAGGGTCTCTGCGTACACTGTCCGTTGATGGTAACAGCGTTATCTCACACGCGACTGACGTGTCGCAATCTACGGAAGAAGACGCTGCTTGGAGTTCAGAAAACAGCAACACAGACGAGGAGGATGCTTTTGGAGATAGTCCGGGACCAGCACCCGTGAGTTTGCTCTTACTTTTGTGAATTTACATTAATAAAAAAAAATAATAATAAAAAAAGCATTTGTAATGCACGATTATAGGGCGGAAGATACGTTGCGTTGGCTGATTACTGCGCGGTAGGCCAGTCGGAAGTAACGATGCGTGAAGGTGATACCTTAGAGCTTCTTAAAGTTGGATGTGCCGGATGGTGGTTTGTCAAACTGATCGGCACCGGTTTGGAAGGTTGGGCGCCCGCAGCCTACCTGGAACCGATCAGTCGCAAAACGTCCCGTAGCTCGCAATCGGTGAACAGTCAAGAGACCATATGAAACAGGCGACTAACACACTAGAAAATCCCAGAAAGGATTCTTTAGTGTGTTAGATCTTTGACTCGCGCGTTTGAAGGTCGCCAAGTGCGATAAAAAAAAAAAAAAAGAAACATTTGTCACATTGGAAACGATATCTTGATCACTTTTCAAGCAGCAGGCGATCGGGTTTTGGAAATCTTTTACAGTATTCTCAGACAGTGATGATCATATTTGTGTACCTTGTACAATACAGCGTATAAAATGCTTGTTGAGTGATGCGTTTGCATTAAAAATACAAAGATGTTAAGTTGAATAGGACGAGATTTTTACGTTTAGAGGTTACTATTACATTACCGAGGAAAACGAAACGGAAGAGTTTTGTTTTCCATTGCGTTAGATTGGATAAAGTGCTCATTTCTGAGTACAGAATAGCATTTACTGAATTGTACAAAATGTAGCGTTGAATTAAGCCGAGATACATGTACGTGCACGCGCACAACGAGACACGGTCTACGACGTTCTCGATTACGGAAACATTTCTATGATAATATAATAATGCACACATCCTGTAATCGATAAGAGAAGAGATAATACGATTCTGCTGATGTCAAATTTTGCTGTTTGAGGGTTTATTTACACTTTGTTAAGAAGAATCTGCATATAAATGTCGATCGTCAGATCGGTCGCCGGATACGTTGTCGTCGGATCGCGTCAGTTGTGTATCATTATACGTTGGCTTAGAGTTCTTACATAGAATCCTAGATGCATTGTCATCAAGATCGAATAGTACAATTTAGCGCATTTTCGTGGGCTTTCGAGAACAATTTTAGATGTTGTGTTCGCGAGGGTTACGGTTGCTTTTCGGGGGAGGGAGCGGAAGAGGGGGGATTGAAACATAGAATATCTGCAAAGACTATCGAAATTAGATCTTCTCAAGCCTTTCGAAAAGAAAAAAAAAACATTGTGTGATATATAAAATGTTAGATCAATGCTTCTGCAGATTAATCATATTGTAAGCACATACAGAGAGAGAGAAAGAGAGAAACATTTAATTGATATATCGCCATTTTTAGAACGTTAGATAATATATTGTTGACGAGTCGTTGCGACCATAAAGCTTCGAGATATTATTGTGAAGTTTGACGAGTGTAATTTTTCCCAAATATTATTCGTTTTGCGGGATTAAAGGTAGAAGAGGAGGGATGGACGGAATTCGAGGAATTATATATATCATATACCAATGTGTGTACAACAGATTTTTCTAGAAAGCTAAACGATTAACACCAAATTACACGCAATATCCGATACTGATAAATCTTATAACAATCTACCTTTTAGAACTATAATAAGAGAGCAATCTGAATTTCTTATATGTATAAGCGGATTTCATAACCCACCAATTTCAGAAGCCTCTATTACGATGTAACGATGTATAATATAGTATCATTTGTACTTGAGAGAGAAACGTTTGTATGGACTACGAATAATATAACTTAAGCGACTTGTCTCTCGATAACGTTACGATTTTTTTTTTTCCGACGTCGGTATGTGTTAATTATGTACGCTTTAATATACACAGAAACATAATTTAAATATCGATCGTCGTTGCGATATCTGATATAGCCTACATGAGTCTTGTTTCGGTATTTATATAATTTGCATATCATTTGTACAGATCACGATCACACCATGGTATTTATATTAGAGATAAATATATTTATTAAATAGGAGAATTATTTATAAGAAAATTATTATATATATATATTGCGAGATAATTTACAACAATCAATAGTTCGTCAATCACGGTCTCGTTCATCCGATTTAATTTACTGAGTAATTCCTTTAGCGTCTCGCAACACACACTGCGTTTCTTAGAATTGTAACACGTGCATTTTCATACATTCATATGTAACGCCGTCCTTACATTGTCCGTAAGATTTCAATCAAACAAGCAATGTTAGTTTAAAAGAATCGTTTTTCTCTACGTTGCAGAGTATTCATGAATACGGAGATTACATAAATACACAGAAGAGAAGAGAGAGCAAATATGCGAAAAGCGTCGGCGTTTGCCGCGGTCGTAGTTTCATTTACGCAGTATATATTAATCTTATGTAAAACAAAATGAAACGATATTAGTAATTCCAAACAGTTAAATCACTGCTCATTATATACCCGTCGCGTTTACACTCTCGCAAGTTGTCAACATCCATGATCACTTTGTCGAAAATTGTCGTTCGTGTTTGCTCGCGAGCGCGCTTTTTCATCCGCGTTAAAATTACAATTAAGCGACCAAAAAGTCAAAGTGATAATTAAAAAAAAAAAAAAAAAAACAAAAAACAACATGTGCAAGACGCGTTTTGTAGAAATTTAAAAAATTATACACATTACATATACATATAGACAATAATTATAGCCGCTGTCGAAGAATACGTGGCGTACACATGCTTCGGATGACGATTCACAATATTAATAATTGCCACACACCGAGACCGAAGCTACATAACTTCCCTCCGCGACTACCGGAGCAAATAGAAGCAGGTTTCCGTGAGTGAATCTATGATTTTCTGTAGGCGGACATTTATATACACGATATTAGAGGTCGTATATATAAAAAAAGAAAAAAAACGCACATGTATGTGAGTGTGCGTGCGGGCGTGTTGTGCAATGTTTTAAAAAAAAAAAAAAAAAACAACTCACGTGAGAAAAGAGTCCGACGGTCAACCGCGATTTCTTTACGGACGGTTCCTTTCATCGCGTTCCTCGTCGGCGAGAGAGAGAGAAAGAGGAGGAGAGTGATATTAAAGTCTATTTTTGCATAATAACACGTAATAAAGAGGCTGCCGAAATCTCTTCTATTTGCATTGTGCATGTGTTGACGCGCGATCATTTCTCAACGATTGTAATTACAAGATCGCTGTAAGTAAGCACGTTTTTTCATTCCTTTGATTGTACAACACTTTGTTATTTCCCGAATACAAGATTCCGTTTTGAATTTATGTCTTTTAATTTGTTTGCGTATCACGTGTATCTACTCTCTATTGTAAATTATTTCAATCTTTACGAGAGAAGGAAATTACTCGGATCTCAAAAAAAAAAAGAAAAAAAACGAAAAAAAACAAGAAAAATATTTTTGTATAGGATGCAAAAGAATTGCTCAAGCTTAAGTTTAATCGCAATGAGCGAAGTTTGCTTTAAATGTCTGTTGCAAATTTTTTGCGTTATATAAGTGCATAGTGCGACCAATCTTCAATGTGCAATTTTCCGTTGTGCGACAAAATACCAGATACAATGCGAATATATATTGCGAGAAATGATCACTTTTCATTGTTACATATTGACATCTTTATCCACGTATATATATAATAATATTATTGTCATCAGAAAGAGGAAATGGAAATGACGATTTGACCGCTAATTCAAGCATGTATATAAATTTTTGTTACTCACCTCAGACACACCTTGCGTGCGATCAGTTGTCAAACTTGTATGAATCTGTAATATTAAACGAGAACATAAAAAAAAAAAAAAAGAAACAAACACGAGAAGTTTAACCTGTGGATCTGCAGCAAAATATCAGTTCTCGTTCTTATTACCATCAAATAACAAATTCGTATCTTACGGAAAAGTGTCGGTTCAATGATTTTATCATTGCGTCAATATTTATTTTGAAATTTGCATGTTTTGCTAAACTAACGCGCAGAATAAAATTTAACTTTGTAACTTTCAATACGCGCGTGAATTACATGATTACCGCATTACATGGCAAGTTTATTTGTGTTTCGCTTATTATACGTTTATGACTTCATGTTATAAAAATGATGCGTTTTTTACGCGTCATACAACAGTTGCGTATACAATCTGCGTGACATTTCCCGCGACATTTCAAATCGTCGACACGGTTAAATTACTTCTCAAGGCCGTCGACAGATGAGGCAAGTCGCGTTCCGGTCAAAGGCCAAAATCATCGACTGTTGATTCGTTGACGCACACACACGCACATATCACACATTCACACACGCACGTGCTTGCTCGAGAAAATGTTTCAGACGTTTCAGTTGCGGCGGCGGTCTGTCCCACACGATTATTGTTCGCGGGTCTGGTAATACGGTTTACGTGGTGTAACACACATGCGACCTTGGTAGCGGCAAGTAGCGGCTGGGAAATCGTAGCGCGGACGAGAGTGAAACGTTATTTTCAGATCTGTCACTTTTTCGCGTCGATTTACTGACGAGACTGCCAAAAGTATGTCGCCGCCGCGACAGGATACCGTTGAGAAGGAACTTCGCAAGACTCTTCCGCAGGAGAAGATACCGTCAAACGGCATCAATGCCGTTCTACTGGGACCACCCGGTAGCGGCAAGGGTACTCAGGTACTTCTCTCGCGGCAGATATACTCACCGCAGATGCAGCTGTCCTCCTTAACTTCGGTCAAAGAGGACAAACTATAGCTGCCTTCAAAGATGTTCAAAGAAAAACGATTGACCGCGCGAATAAAGCAAAACCGTAAAATATTGCCTTTCTATATTGCTTTTTATTCGATTTTATATAACTGGATTTAATAATTTTTTTACTCCATATACCTAAGAATCAAAGTGTAATATTTTTGATCACGTTCTGAGTTTTGTTTAATTTTACAACTGCAACAGTTAGTAGTTTAATTAATTAAATTAAGCACTTGTTTTATTCAGGCACCTTTATTGAAGGACAGATATTGCGTCTGTCACTTGTCCACTGGTGATATGTTGAGAGCTGAGGTCAGTTCTGGTTCAGCTCTCGGAGCTCAGATTAAGAAGGTAATGGATGAAGGTAAATTGGTCAGCGATGATTTGGTTGTCAGTATGATCGAGAGCAATCTGGAAAAACCCGATTGCAAGCGTGGCTTCTTGCTAGACGGTTTTCCGAGAAGTGTTCCACAAGCGGAAAAGGTAAAAACTTTGTAATCTCTTACAAACAGATAAGTTTGCAAAAGAATCTAAAATTTAGATTCTAATGGTCTTTCTTTTACATAGCTCGACGAAATGCTTAACAAGAGAAAAACAAAGCTCGATGCTGTGATTGAGTTTGGAATAGATGATGCATTATTAATTAAAAGAATCACGGGTAGATTGATACATCCAGCAAGCGGTAGATCTTATCACGAAGAATTTGCTCCGCCGAAAGTTCCAATGAAGGACGACGTAAGTTAAAACAACAGTTTAATAAACACATTTGCTTTTCTCACAGTTTGTCCTCGATATATGATTCACATAAAAAAATATCTTAAATATATAAATCAACTACATATTATTTATTTTCGTATTATTTTGACGATATATCTTTCCTGGCGATAAAATTCATATTTTTAGTGATAAGTCTCTGCACAACAATGTGAATATGATTATATAATAGCAGTTCAAGATAAAAAAGCATAATTATTATTGGCAGATCACCGGAGAACCTTTGGTCAAGAGATCTGATGACAACGCCGAAGCTTTGAAGAAACGGTTAACAACGTATCACACGCAGACTGCACCATTAGTTGATTATTATGCTCTGCAAGGACTTCATCACTACGTCAACGCCGCTCAGTCTGCCGAGAAAGTCTTCAAAGATATTGATAAAATTTTCCTTATGAAATCCACAGAGAAGAAGAAACAGAGTTTTTTCAGCAGATTTTTCTAGAACACTGCCAATAGACGCGTCGTAAAACATTCTTGTTTCTCTTTTTTAGAATTTTTTCTCCGAAAAAGTACGTTTATAGAAATAATCACACATATATACAGAGTTAACATACTTTTAAAAGTATCGGTTTATAAGTGTCTAAACGTTCGCTTTTATTGAGATCCGCAATTCGCATCTTTAAACAATAACACATGAAATCTAGAATCGCCGTAAGCGATGCATCTCGTAGCAATATATCAAAAAGACTTGTTGGGCCTATTCTGTAATTTTTAACGCGTGCGTTGTGAATCCGCGCAGACTAAACATATCGATGTGAATGCGCAACGATAGATTAAATGAGAAATTGTCGTTACAGAAATTACAGAATAAGAGAACTGAAGTAAAAGTTCTCGTGAAGCATTATAATTTTGTGTATATGTATGAATTATGAGATCGTGGATAACATATATACATTCTTTATGGTGCGTCAAGTGAGGAATGTAAAATACCCGCATATCACCGATATACGGACATGTCATCAGGATAACGTTTTAATGTTCATAGAGAAACTGATATCTTTGTATATAACAACTGTGAAGAGTATTCTGCTTCGTTGTTACTATATTTCTGTGGTATTGTTTATTTTTATTATCGCTTTTTTCTATTAAGATTTCCATCGGGATATACATAAATCTGCACACACACACACATACACACACAATGACAAACAAGTACGAACCAATCACACCTGCGCACATTGATCAAGTTTCGGCAATATATTCGCTTGTTAAATAATAGTTCCGAATGCTCAAAGTAATACATTGGTTCGTACGAAAAAAAATGAAAGTCGTAAACTACGATAATTTCGCTAAGTTATTTTATGAAACATGTACATGAAAATAATATGTACATAAATAACAAAATTTATGTAAACAAAAACGGTGAAGATATTGTACTTGGTTGAAAGTTAAAAGTTGTGACCGTTTTTGAGTGTTGCTTCAGACTCTCACACAGACATAGAAATTTGACGAGATATTATAAACAAAAAAACGCGACCACAAATGATAGTCTATTTTACATATAAAAGAAGCAAATATATATATATATTCTAGTAAGACACTAATTTCTGTATGTACATAAGACAAAAAAATTCTACTATTTTCTGAAAAGAAAATAAATGTATAAGTCTAGATTTAAAATATGTATTATTTGCGCATAATTTTTATTACACAATTTCTACCCTTCAGTATAACTTATATCTTGATAAAAGTTTAAAAATAAGTTTATTTTTTAACTTTGGAACGGTATGCGTACACAGCGCATGTTCGTATCAATATGTTCTGTCAACAGGTCTGTTCTTTGCCTCTGCATTGTTTTGGTTCCATCTACCGGTTCTAGTGCAACCGCTGCGACCTGATACGACAGAGGAAAGGAACAGACCTGAAATTCTATATAACAGATTTTCTAACCTTAAAAGTCGTCACTTTAAACGCTTAGTAACTTTTTTCACAGAATCGAACAACATTTTATTTTTCAAATTATATTCTACGCACAAAAGAAAATCAATTGAAAAAAATAGTTACTAAGAAATTAAATATACGATATTGTTTTGTATGTAAATATATACGTATGTACAGTGTGAATTACATGTAATATGGATACAGATATATTAAAGGCAATACTAAAAAGTTGTAGAAATACAGAAAATAATGATCAGTCTGAAAAATATGAAGACATTTCAAGAGAAACTTTGCTATGCTCACAATCCGATGCTATTTTGAATACTTTATGCAAATCACTGAGCAATCTTCTGTGTTATAAAATATCTAAAGAAGCTTATCAACGCTATTCAGTTCGATTGTTGGTAATTGTATGTGAAAAGTTATTGTTTTTAAATATTCAAACTATATTCTTTTTCCTAAATTCTTAATATTTTAAAAATTAATTTAAAAAAATATTAAGAATTTAGGAAGAGGATGTAATGATTTGAAAAAAATATTGTTACACATTGCAGGATATCTTGCGAAAATGGTGCAGAACAACGAGCAATTTCGAACATCTACAAGTGCTTACATCTAAACAAAACACATTGAAGTTTGTAAGTATTCTCTTAAACAAACATTTGACAGATGATATTTTGGACGAATGCTATTCCGAAGATGCTCTGATATCTTTAACCGGAGCTCTAATACACTTGTCAGTTGAAAATCCAGTTTTGATGTCTCATGTGAACAGACTACTTGTGAAACTCACACAACTGGAGACAAACGACAAAATCGAAAAGTTGTTTCACAGTGTTCTATATTCTAATCTGAACATTGAATTATCCACAAAGGAAAAGATATACACTGCGCAAAAGTTCAAATTAATAGAAGAACCGTTGCTCAACAATTTTGTGAACACGTTCTTTAATACGCAGAAAGACAATACTTGTGTCGACATTCATACTAGAGACAAATTGGATCAATTGTTAAAATTTAGTTCCGAGTCTGCACATACGTTTCAATTAACGCTCCAGTTTTTGAAGGAACTGCTGGTTCAGCTGCGGTATGCTCCGGCAGTTCTAGATTTCACAAATTACATTTTAAAATGTGTGTCTGCTCATTGCGAAAATCGGAACAAAGACATATTGGATCTCTATCCCAGAAAATTACATTCTTGCATTATCTTGTTGAGAATACAACCCAAGTATCACACATTACAAACGCAAGAATACACATTGCAAAGCATGAAACAAATCTTTGATGAAAACAAGGACAGTGTATTGATTCTACTGTCTCATTTTCCTGAGTGGCTTGAGTATTTTGTAAATTACGTCGCTACGCAAGTATAGAGAAAACTGGAGAAAAGTAATATAAACTTTACAGAACAATATTTTTCTAGTTTGTGTAATTGCTGCGTGTAATATTAATGTGTAATTATTTTGTGTATGTAAATTAATTATGAAAACAATATATTTATTAGAGTGTGTCTATATTTTTGCTTACATATCGTGAAAATAAAACAAATTATTTTTCAAAGAATAACGAGAAAAATGCATATTGAAAACAGATCTTTATTTCATTTTTCTTTGGATTGGTCACGCCGGAATGTCTTTCTTAAAGAAAGTTGGTATTCCAAGCTTCTCTTTGTTGAGACTTCAAAGTCTCGACAGACACTCATACACATTATCTGTGAAGTATATCTCATGTTAGAACCACCTTATGTACGAAACAATAAATTGAAAACAAAAGAACGTATACATGTTACGTTATTTTGTGAAAAAGAAAAGATAAAATAACTCCGCAAAAACGAAATTCTCCCATACAACAAAAAATGAAAAGAGACATTCTCTCTTTCTCTCTCTCTCTCTCTCTTCGATGTAACACAACACATAAATGCAAACTTATAAACGAATATTTCTCTCATTTTACAAATAAAAAGAAAGCAAACACATTCACTATATCGATGTGTAACACAAAATTGCGGAATACAAAAGTAAAACGCGCTTTCTCGTGACTTCTGATGCGCCGCCTAAACTTAACAAAGTCTAATTTATATTTAGGACTGACACACACATTTTTCTATACACGCAATTCTGTTTTTTTTTTTTTTTCACTCTTCAATTAGTAAGGTTGAAGGACCGCGGAAGAAAACTTTTCAATGCTTCGCAAAACTAAATATTTATGGGATGAAAGAGATATAGCAATCGCGCGTGTGTGTAATCGTAATAAGTTAAATATAATAGCGGAACATATAAATTTTGTGATTACTTTTGTCGGTTTGTCAACAAAAAATTTGCAAATTCATATGCGAATCAATTGCGACGGAATTGTGTGAACCGGAATTGTTTGAATCTCGCGAGATATTTTGGAATCGGAAACTGTTTCGTCGGACAGCGTGCACTTGCTGGATGACGTGGAGACGGTGGTGGAGCAGGACAGGGATGCTGGCATATTGGTGGTGACGGGAGCGGAAACGGACTTGACAGGAGCGACGGGTGATGACCCCACGTTGTGCGACAAGGACCTTCGTCTTTTCAGGACCTCGCGCTGCCGCTGATCGCTCTGGCGCTTCTCCGTTCTGCCTCTGTCGCCGGTAGACTTGCATCGCGCGATCTGTCGATCAAGGCGCGCTATTACAACACAACGCACAAAAATGCTCGCTGCTAAATTAATACATTTATAGGCGAGATATTTAATTGCCGATGAGACTACGACGCGAAAAGCTCTCAATCGCGCGTGCAAGTATAACAGAAAGTATTTCTGTATTTTGTTTTTTCTCTCTCTTTCTTTCTCGGATACCGGTCACGTCGGTTTTTGGAAAGAGAAGAGATGCGATGCTGAAAGAAACTGATGAAAACACAAGCGGGGATTTCTACCGCTCTTGAGATGAAAAATGTGACCGGGTAAAAATATAAACCATAGAAGTGTTACAAAACGAAATGCTCTGTTACTTTGTAAAACGTGTTACATTTAACATCGATGCGATGAATATCTCTTTTTTTTTTGTTTTCATTCGAACATTACGTGAACCGTATAGATAGTATTTTATCTCTATATATGTTTTTTGTTTTTATCATACTTTTTTACATTTTTACCTCAAACATACAATGTCAAATAAATAAACAGTGAGATTTTTTCGTGCGACTATTAATGTTGAATTTTTTTTTTTTTTTTTTTTTTTTGTTTTGTTTTGTTTTGTTCTTTTCTCGCTCGGTTAATTTCCTCTGCCAGAGTTATTTGTTTAATTTGTCCTTTTGTCAATACCCCCTTACAGCACATATGTACACGATTATATACGCGTTCTAACGCGCATTGTACGTATTTTTGCACGCGCAAAAATGACAAAAAATGGCTCTTGCCTTGCGTAAACTACATTATCTTGCAGCTTGGGCGAAAGGTCGTGTACTGAAGCTTCCAAAAATGTGTAAGTGTACGTGTGTGTAATTGTTGCGCTAACTCACGGCGCGTAACACGAGATATAATCTTGCAGCAAAGAAATTAATATCTCTTAGTACATTTATGTCATACGAAGTCACTTGTTACTTAAGATTTATTCTCTAGCGCGCGCGCGCGCGCACGCGCAAATTCTCAGAAACATTCAAAAGTTCCTAGTTTTTGAAAGTTTTAGAAATCGTCTGTGCACCTATTTCGAGATTTAGGAAGTTTTGAGATTATTCGAGGTATTTGATTTTTTCTGGATTTCTGGATTCTTATATTTCTCGATAAGGAAATGTACGAATTTTGAATCAACGCGCGTCGAGATCTTGCGATTCGTCGTTCGAGATGATCCGCAGTTCCAGAAATATCGCGATTTCAGATTTGAAGGTTTTTTGAATTCACATCTGTTCTCAAACTTTCAGAGTCTTGAATCTTAAAGCACACGGATCTCGAGAACTCTCGATATCGTCTTTCTTCGAAATGCCAAGAGTTTGCTCAATCACGCCGCTTGTCGTAATTTCTTGGATGTGGTAACATTTCCTCAATTTTCTGATGTCGAGAGATGATCTCTTCGCTTCGATTATGAGACAAATTCATTAATCTTTCGTGTCTGTCTTTGATTCAATCCTGATCAGATCGATCTTTCGCCCCGATTTCGTGGTGTCTCGTTCTATTTTTGTAATATTTATATTATTGAAGTGTTACAAACTATGCGGCGGGAGAAAAATGTTTATCCGAAGAAACAAGTGGCATACGAATTTTTCGACAAGTTACTTTCGAATTTGTAACATTTCGAAAACTCGATTCTAATATAAGTATTTTATATATATATATATATATATATGTAACAATTAATATGATGCGTGTGTGTGGTAATGTGTTGGTATATACATATATATACACATACATACGTATGTATATATACACATCGATTCTCGAAAGATGACGTACCCGGTAAGCAAAACATTAGCAGTGTATTGACAGAATGGCAGCAATCTCGAATGGAATTTTGCAGTAGATCCTGTATCGCGTCTGCGTCCACGTTAAAGTTTACGTTCTGGCTTGTAGAACCTGTCAACATGACCTAACAACACATTTTTCACAAGAACTTTGCGCATTACTCGTTCTCTTAATCTTCGTATGTTTATCCGTGTGACGTTTACGTACCGAGGACGATGCACCACACACAAATGCATACTGCATCCCAAAAGTACCTCTGCATTTTTATAGCTCGCATCGTGCAGCTTGCACGATTTCCGTTCGTGTGACATGTGAAAAACAAAAACACCATTGTCTCTCATTGTGGTTCTTCGCGCGACATTCGCGGTCTCGGAGAGAGCGGTGTCAAGGCGCTACAAGAAACGCGATACAAGAAACAGGATAATTGCGCTGTGTGCGTGGCGGGATGATTAAAAAAAAAAAAGTTCAAATTGCAACAGATTGTTATCTTTAATAAATCAAATGACATACAAAGGCCAATCATATAGTAATTCTTACTGTTTTCTGTAACAACAAACTTCGATTTTTATACACTATTGATATAATGTAATAGTTTCAAGAACACGTATAAGTTTTTTGCGATATAACTTTTTTTTTTTACCGAAGAATTGCGGTGTTAATGTGTTCGACGGCGCATCGTCCTCACAATCTTAATTTTTATTCTCACCTTACAAAGAGTAGCTTGCTCGCTTCGATTGTCGAGCCTCTATACACACACACGCGAAGTCACGTTCAAGTACACAAATTCACATTTACGCATGTAACACCCGTCCACCCACTCACTCACCCACACAAACACACACATATTCACACATGCACGCAAACACACGCATGTACGCACGCACGCGCGCGCGCGCACACACGAGAGCACGCTAGTAGGAAAAAAAAAGTGAAACGCAACGCGTGTTGAAAGATCATTAACTGTGTTCGATTCGCCAGATCGCAAATCTAGATAATCTATATTGATCGATTTTCAAAAAATTCTCTCTCTTTTCTCTCTCTCTCTCTCTCTCTGCTTTTTTCTTCTCAATTCGCATATTTATCATCTCATCCGTTATATCGTTTTTTTTTCTTTTTCGCTCTTTTACAATAATGACGCCTTACATCGATTTTATACTAGATCCAAGTAGACCGGTTAAAATGAGTGAAAAACGCGAATAAAGGAGAAGAAAAGGGTGCATTGCCGAGAAGGCTCCTGAGTATTCAATGCAACTAGAGTCAATTATATTACGTGACGTCGGAAAAAATTCCTGCAACTCGCATTAAAACAACAGGTTTTTCGCAGAAAAATTTTTGATCGACAAAACACACTCGTCAGAAATCAGCCCGAAAACACCCTTCTTTATTATTTTATCATAATAAATGCAACATTTCAATTCAATTTACGCGTATTCAATATTTCTAGCGAAAATAACGTATGAAGATTTCAGATGTATGCGTGTGTATATCACTCTATAAATCGAAAAACTCGTTTTCGAAGGATTTTACGAATGTGTTCAACATCGATTGAAAGTGGATTTGTACGGAAAAAAACTTTTTATTTTAACATACATTGCAGGAATTTTTAACACATATTTTTTTCGCTTCTCTGACGTCACAATACGATTGCAAGAATATCCAGTAGTATCAGAGTTCAGCAAAAAAAAAAGAGGGATAATTTTGGGTCAATTCAAAACTGGGATGAGAGGAAAAAGAAGATGAAGAACGAAAACACCATTACATTCTCAAAAGACAAAACTCTGATCGTTGTCATAACACATATTAGAAATAGGAATCAACCTGCTAGAGGCTGGTTTCACTACTTGCAATCAGTACACGACTAACGACGCTTCGACAAAAATAGGTACTAATAGTTAATTATAGCGGTAATAAGAATAATTATAATAGTAAGAATAATGACAATGTAATAATAATAATATTAATAATAATGATAATAAGAATAATCGCAGCAACGACAGGGTTTTCATACTATGATGAAGCTTGGTTTTTTTTTTTTTTTTCACGAGCCGCAATTTCGTGTAGCAAACAATATGACTGTGTCGCGATTAACGAGTTCTCTTGCACACAAACAAAGTGATAGATCGCATTTTTGAAATCTCTGCTTATTATTGGTGCGTACATCGACATTGTCGCTACACGTAATTCTCGCTCGTGTAACATATCCATTTGTATGAAAATCCTATGTGATAATATTCAGCGCATGACAATGGATAACAATGTTGTACCGGTGTGTAACTCCACCGAATATAAAAAAAAAAAAAAAAAAAAATTAAAAAAAAACACAAGAACTGGAACTTCAGTATCCTTTTGTGGATATTTTAATATATTTAGCAAAAAGAACCGCCGATCTCACACCAACCGTGCTACGTTTGTTCGGTACAACCAACAAACGAAACACCAAAGCTACTCACTAACAATCAATATTCTCCACTGTATATATATTACGAAAAGAAAAAAGAAAAGAACATTCTCGATAGAAATAACTAATTAATGAGTCGTATAAATTTGCATTAATTTGTGTGTGGCGATAGTAACATTTTTTTTTGTTGCTTTACCTCGATAGTATTTCTCTCACTAGACACAATCCAACATATAGAAAGTTTTATCGTTATTTACTAATTATTATTTTATCATTTATATAATTATTATCTTAAAGCTGTCTAAAAAGAGACTCGCTGCGTGGCAGGAGCGTCATGTTTTTTCTCTTTCATTCATTTTTTTTTTTTTTTTTATATTACTTTGCTTATTCTTTTACATGTGTCAGACGGTATCTTTTCATTTTTGTTTTCTTTATATTTATATTTGTTTCTCTCTCTTTTTCTCCCTCTCTTTCGCTTTGCGTTTTGTTTTAGTTAGGTACGTTTAGTTAGGTATCTTCGCTTTGTTTTTTTTAATAACGTTTGTTTTTTTGCGCACGCGATAACGCACATGCATTTACCAAGCAGTTGGGTCAGTAAAACTACATGCGCGACGTCGCTTGCATTTACTGTCTTCTCTCTCTAATCATCATAGACATGTGTGTGAGTGTATTTATATATCTTAAATATACTACTTGCTGGATATTTTCTTTGTGATTTGTAATTTGTATAGATCACAATAATCGTACCATCTGTGCCTGTGAGTGCCAGTAATTTTTCTATGCCTCTTCTTCGCCATTTTCGTTTGTATGTTCAAGTCAATAATATACAATATATATATATACATATATGTATATATATATATATATATATATATATAATCTTTCTGCACAAATTGCAGATTTAACTAACTTCCTTTACACAAAAAAAACTCAATAACAGTTTGATGAAAATGTAAACGTGTGAATGTGTATTTATATGAAAGCTTTTGCCGATGGTCTGTCACGGTAAATTTAAGTTTGTGTATGTATATGCGCACGTGCGCGTGACGCGGAGGAATAGTATTTCGAACAACGAGAGGATTGAGTCAAAATGTAACTGTACTCAAGACGGAAACAATTGTAATTTTCGTTTCAACATTTTATATTAAACCTTGTTTTTCTTTTCTGTATATTTCGATTTTGCGTTGTGTGATTTCTGTTTTTACATTATGGTCATCAAACCAATTCTCTCTTACGTGCTAAATAAATTCAGACCAGCCGAAATTGTCGATTTTCGAAAAAAAAAAATGCAATTAAAGAATAACATCTTATCAAAATATATAGTAATAAGCTAGAAAATAAATAAAATTTTGCTCATTTTGCGTAAAACATGTAAACGCGTCGATTGTAATAGCATTTAACGTCGAACGCGTTTTTCTCTCTTTTTTTAATACATTTAATATGCGGTTTTCTTTCTATTTATTCGCACCAGTGCGAAATATAAATTTATATCAGTTTGTATGCCGCTTTTGTTTTTTCTTTTAGATTAGAACGTAAAAAAATTAACGGATAAATATTTATGATTGATATTAGCACAGCATTGCAGAATCAAAGCGTATTAAGGTTTCCTTTTCTTCTAGGAGATAACTCGATTGCGCGTTATTCTTCTCTTATTCTTCTCTTCTGCTCTTTCTTTTTCTCTTCCTCTCTTTTTTCTCTCTCTGTCACTTTGGAATATTACTTCCTGGTTTCCTTGCTATTCGGTTTATCTCATCTTTCTTTCTGCATCCAGTGGAAGGGACCCAAGTAATTGCAAGTCCCAACAAGATGATTTCGAAGATTTGATCGATCATACACGTTGCTGGATTTGTGCAATTACCTGGGTCCGCGAACATTGGCATTTCGTTACAATTATATAGAGTTATGTAGATTTCTATATATAAATACTTATTATGCATTTGTATAATACATATCTAATATGCGATTGTGTGTTAGAACTCTGTCATCGCTCCAATTTAACTAACTTAATTAAATACACGTGCACACCGTCACTTGTACAATTTGTCCTTCGTAATGCAATTTTTTTTTTTTTGTCTTTCACGATGAAATACATGTATTGTATTATTTTGTGAACCCCAGTGTGGAAAATGTGGAAACCGCGTGTTTAAAGATGATGATGTGAATGCGAATGTTGTGTGTGCATGTATGTTCTGTCTGAAAGCGCGTATTTTCTCCCACACGCTTTTCCATGGTATGATTGCATGCGCATCTTTCGAACAAATCGACGAGAAACAAAATATAATTAACTTTATATGTATTGTACATATATTATATAATATATATGTATTAATTATGGTTTTTCTCATATTCTTTCGGTTAGTATCTTTCTCTCTATCTCTTCTCCCTCTCTTTCTCTCTCTCTCTCGCTCTCTCTTTCATACACACACCAACACATACACGCACACACACCTACATTATATATTATCTTTCATTACTTTTTAATAAAGACGTCGTCTAGATTTTAAACGAGTGTACGATGTCGCGCTCTGTAGATATAATATAGATATTCGAATATATATACTATAATACGCGAATATCTTTATCTACATTTTCACTTCTTTTTGTTCGTTCAATTTAACCATTTATAGTAAATCGCGCCCCCACCGTACCGTCGAAAATATTACAACAAAGTCGCAAAAAGCATTCTGCAATATCTTATGTACATTCAACCTGCGACTTTTGCTAGACATGTGTTCGTTGAAAGTATAGCGATTTACCTCGGGACTTTCTTAGTTAATTCGAAAAAGACATACGCACTGCCTACATATACACAATTGATCTTTCTTGTTATTTTTTTCTTTTTTTTTTTTTTTTTTTAATTTTCTTCGCGACAACTCACACGCTTTTTTCTTCTTATCTCTTCATCATGATATAATCGTAATATAACAACTATTTATTCATAAATTCTGAACGATCAAATTCAATTGTAACGTGATCCACACTACAGTTCATTTCCTATCTAAGATATTCGTTTGTTTTCACAACGAATACACGAAAAAAAAAAA